TTCAGCTATTTGTATGCAGTACTTGCTCCACATACTTCTGTAATCCAGCTTCCCTCTCTCCAGACTTCAAGAGTTTGAGAAGGGCATCTGGCTTCTAACATACTATTGGCGACGGTAAATACAGAATTATTCATCTTTCTTTTAACACTGTTTGGCTGTAAACCTCAAATTATACTCTTTATTCAACAAACTGAGGAGTGACTGGTTTCTGAGACAGATAGAGTTGCTTTTATCCATTTGTAATAGCCTCATGTGTCCTTTTCAGGCTATTAAAATTAATGAGCTGAGTTGAACTGTTGCTGATTACTGTTTTTGTTTTTCCTTCAGAGCTGTCAAGGTGCATGATGCTGTATAGAATACAGCACGACAAGACCCTGTCCCAAGTACATAAGTAGTTAAAATAAAGTGCAGGAGAAACAACTCTCTCTGTGTGTGTGTGTGTGTGTAGAGGGGGGGAAATGTATGTGCTTACCCTTCTCACAGGCTGAGAAAAGAGATCAGAGGAAATTGAGCATTATGTGAAAGGCATGAGGTTCTTGATGCAGGTTTTAAATGACTACCCTTTCTCACAGGCTGATAAAAGAGATCAGAGAAAACTGAGCATTATGTGAAAGGCGTGAGGTTCTTGATGCAGGTTTTAAATGACTAAGCGATTGCGACCGTTGTACATCATTACCTGTATCTTCATGCATGGACTAGGTTAAAAACCTAAGGAATATGAGTATTGCTTAAAGGGCAAATTTTCTTATTTGCATCTTGAGAAATTCTAATACTATTCTTGCATTTTGTCATAGGCCATTAAAAGGTGCATTCAAATTATCAAGAATTAACAATGGAGATGTTCATCATTAGGGTAAATTAGGTGCAGTCCTTGTTCTCGAAGATTGGTACAATGGGAAGAACCAAAAACCCATGCTCTGTGAATTGTTCTTCATCTGAACAATCCATTTCCTCATGCTTTTTCCCTTTTAAGGGATTAGTATTTTGGGATGCCACCCTCACTTGACATCATAGTAATGTTTAATCAGTCCTGTGAGTTAAATGAGAATCTTGAATATTCAAGAACATTTTTAGTGGCCCTTGTTATCTTAGTGTAATAATGAAATGGGTGGGATATTTAATGTGTTGGTTGTGTGTTTTTGTTTTGTTTTGTTTTTAGATTACATTCCTGAAAGTTGCATCCTTTGATTGTGTTGCTATTTACAGCAGGACTAAAGCGCCACCCAGTGATAAGTGGTGGTGACTGACATTTTTAGAAAAAATTGAAACAAGGACTTCAGAGTTGTACCTTGATTGACCTAAGCAAATGAATACCTGAGAGATGTGTGCACAGTTCCTACGTCTTTCCACATTGACCAGTTCAGAGTCTTGGGGATTGGGAAGCAAATGAATACTTCTATTTACAGAAGGATTAAAGCGCCACCCAGTGATAAGTGGTGGTGACTGACATTTTTAGAAAAAATTGAAACAAGGACTTCAGAGTTGTACCTTGATTGACCTAAGCAAATGAATACCTGAGAGATGTGTGCACAGTTCCTACGTCTTTCCACATTGACCAGTTCAGAGTCTTGGGGATTGGGAAGCAAATGAATACTTGACAGGTTTATGCACAGTGTACAGTATGCATTGGTTTAGGTCTTTCCACATTGACTACAGGAGGTTTGGGAAGCCCATAAACTATCACAAAGTAAATAGTTTTGTCCCATTACCTACTTCTGCCAAGTGCTATTCTGCACCGTACAGATTTGTGATAGCTATAATGACAGTTCTGTTTTGCATTAATTTGTCTAATCTCCTTTGAAAACCACTGAGGTTAATGGCCTTCATAATACCCTATAGTAGCTGATTCCAGAAGCAAAGTGTTGTGTGCATTTACTTCTTGTGTGTGGAGGAGGATGTTCACTGTGTGATATGGTTGTAAACTAGACTGTCCTAAGGTCAAAGACTGTAATAAACAGCATGCCTTCAAACTTCCTTATGAGAAAACGTATAAAAAAAACACACTCAACCAAAGCATAACAGCTTGGACTTTGATTAACTTCTCACAACTAGTTGGATCTCTAAAGAAAGGAAAGGGAATTATATTCAGATAGGCCCAGAACTGACATTAGAAATAGCCCTTGATTAGAAATGAAAAATCAGTGATTAGAGGAAATCCATAAGTAATGAAAGTGTCAGAGTATCACAGTAGGAGCTTCTCTCGGGTGTAAGAGTATGTAAATTAGACCACTTTCTTTGGTGATAATTTTTTGAGACTTAAGCATGAAATTCCGCTGAAGCCTTGATTTTGTAAGCCCCAAAAGACTGCTTCAGGGCCTGACCACACAGATAAAAAACCCTGGGATTTGATCTGTGTTAAAAACTATGCTGAGTTTCACGTTCACACAATGAACTCCAAAGTGCATACAGTGGTGCCTCGCTTAACGAGCGCACCGTACAACGAAGAATCCGTATAGCGATCCCTTTTTGGGGATCGCTATACGGAGCTGCCCCAATTCTTTCTTTCTTCTTTTCTCCTTTTTTTTAAAGCTGGTAAGGAGTACAGAAAGTAAGGGGAATGGGGGTGGTGGAAGGGGGAGAAAGAGAACATAAAATATACTGTCATCAAATCCTAATTATTCATGTTGCAATATCAAGTCCACTTTTCGGGGGCGAAAGAGAACATAAAATACTGTATACTGTCATCAAATCCTAATGATTCATGTTGCAATATCAAGTCCACTTTTCGCCTTTCTACAGTTTAATACTGCTTTTTTCTTAACTAACTTAAGCCATTGTGAATGTTACAGCCAGTTTTAAAAGGGAGCATTTCAATTATCTTTCTACAGTTTAATACTGTTTTTTCTTAACTAACTTAAGCCATTGTGAATGTTACAGCCAGTTTTAAAAGGGAGCATTTCAATTAGTAGGAACACATAGGAACACAGAAAAACCATGTGACTTGAGTTGGCTAAAATTAAAATGCTACATATTATGGTTTATTTGAGAAATGTAGATAGGTTCTTAGTTACCTCCTGCAAATTAAGGTGCTCTCATCTCTAATTATGGTCTGTCTCTGTCCCTGGCCTGAGCTTGCCTCTTTAAAGATACAGGTCTTTCATACTACTGCAAAGAAGTACTTTCTTTTGTCTATTCTCAATTTCCTGCCAGTAGGTCTTTCTGGAGAGTTCGAGTCCTGGGCAATTCTAGTCCTGTGGACAAAAGAATGTTAATTGTGTGCTGTCAAGTCAGTTCTGACTTATGGTGACCCTTTTCAGGGTTTTTGAAGTAGAAAGTATTCAGATGTGGCATACCATTCCCTTCTTCTGGGGGCACCCAGGAATTGTGCAGTTTGCCGAAGGCCACTCAGGCTGGCCCTTTTGGAATGCGCAGCAGGGAAATGAACTCTCAACCTCTGGCTCCACAGTCAGATACCTAACTCACTGAGCTATCCAAGATATCTGGTCTGTTATAGTGGTTAGAATGATGGACTAGGACTCGGGAATCCTGGGTTTGGATCCCTATTCAGCCATGGAAACTCACTGGGGATGTGGAACTGGAAAAGCCACTCCTTAAATATCTCATTTCTCTTGAAAACTCTGTTAAAGTCAGTTTCCAGTTTGATGGTACATAACAACAACAACAACAACAACAACAACAACAACAACAACAACACAATTTGATGGTACATAGCAACAACAAAAACATCAACAACAACAACAACAACAAATTTAAAACACCCCTATCTCTCTGTACACATTCTTTCCACCATGCACTGCTTGGTAAACTTCTGTCATTTAGAACACCCATATTCCTCAGGTTCCTTGCCAAACCCTCCCTCCCTCCATTGTTTTTCCCTTGCGGTCCTTTGATCAGTTTAATTGCTCTTTTTCTGGAAACTTTGCAATGTGCCACATTTTTCTTGAGCTGAGGTGAAAGTATGAAATATTGTATATAGTTTCTCAAATGATGCTGCATCATAAATGGGATGAATACATTACTAGCAATTCAGTTTCCCTTTCCTTATAATTCCTGATTTGCAATTTACCTTCTCCCAGCTATTTCCTCTTCTCTAAATTCATAGGAACATACTTGTACTCCTTAGAGCAGAGGTTCCCAACCTTTTTTGAGTTGTGGCCCTCTATTATAATAGCCACGTAACCTGTGACACACCCACCCACCCACTATGTTTATATAGAAAGGCATTTTAATGGGATAAAGTCATCCCTTCTCAGAAAGTAGTAGAGGCTTATTTCTCCCCCAAAGGGCCTGTTTCTCATACATACACATACACACTAACATTAATGCAAATCAAAGTTATTATCTAGCTCCAAAAGGTCAAGGAAGAAATTAATTAACAAAGGCTACAACAATATAAAACAATCCCTGACCCACTCCCCCAGAAAACACTTTATAACCCCCTTGAGAGTCATGACACCTGGATTGGGAAACACTTCCTTAGAGCTATTTGAATGTAGAATAAAATTAGAGAGTGATTAGCTGTGCATGAGAGTTTAGGATAAATTTGCTTCCAAAAATTACCCTTAAAATCTCCAGAAATTTTTAAATTGCATATTCAGTGATTATGTGATATGTCGCTTTAACTTTTTTAAGCAGCACTAGATGTTCCTATTTGCCAGTGTCATTTGACAATGGCAGGACTTTTCTTGCTGTTCACATAAGTTTTATACACCTCGCTGTGGCTGATTGCAGCTAGTTGACAGAGTGCGTCATGGTTGCACAGTCAAGTGTATGACCATGCACACAAGTGAGACATGTCCCAGCACTTCAACCGTTTGAAATTAATGTGGTTGTGCCGAAGAATTTCAGAAAATAAATAAACAACGTAGCTCTCAGAATAATGTCCAAAATTTGTATACATTTTTGTATGAAAAAACAAACAAATGCTGTCCATTCTTACTGCTATGTTCTGTTCTGTCCTATTTTTATTATTATTATTGTCCAACATCCTTTTTCGCCCCCTGTTCAGGCACTTACAAAACAATATGTTTGTTTTAAAGGTCCCACTGAGCCAGTATTGCAATCGGGCCATTATGAAGTTGATGTATTGCGCCCACTGCCGAGGCATGTCAAATGTAAAGCCATGTAACAGCTACTGCCACAACGTCTTGAAGGGCTGTGTGGCCAATCAAGCGGACCTCGACCCTGAGTGGAAGAACCTGATAGGTAAGAGCTGCCACCAGCTGTAGAAAAATAATTTCACTCTGGTCATCCTTCTGCATGTTGTTCATGCTCATCAACAGAGAGCAGTCTGGAGCCCAAACCAAGCAACTGATTGATGCACTCCCAATGGCTCTGCACCAAATATTAAACACGGCAAAATCCTGGGCAAAATCCTGTGAGTAGGCCCATTGAATCAATGGAGTCAGCTCCTCCATAAGTTCTCATGATTCAAGTGGGCCTATTCTAAATGTCACATACTGTGCTAAAATATGTCAAAGTTAGAATAGGCCTGTTTGAATCAACTGAACTTACAGAAGAGTTGATTTACTAATCAGTCTGGTCTAGTGCAATTTATTACACTGACTAACAGGATTTTGATCAATATGTGTAGGTGTCTTTGAAACACCACTTTGTCCCTTAGCATTACTGTAAAGACCAGGGAAGTACTAGAGTACCACTTCTGACACAACTAGTATATTTGGTAGTGAGGGATAGAGGGATTTGGTAGAGAGACTTGTAGTCCAGCAAAATATGTAGATTATCCATGAAGTCCCCAACCCTGCCATGCAGTTAGACAAATTGCACATCTGTGTTCCAGCATCTCTTGTGTCAGATACAAAGAGTTTAGAAAAGAGTTTAGAAAGTGGCCTTGGTAAAGTGCTTTGATTTTGGAGGTCCCTGGTTCAACACTGAGCACTGGGCTATACCATGTAGCCCCCTGTGGTCATGCTGACTGGAGGAATTATGAAAGTTATCCAAAAACAAAACTTTTACAAGCCCTGCTGTGAAGAAGAGGATGTTCTCACTTTGGAACAACGATGGGAGGTGTTCTGGTGTATTTTGGGTAAAAATCCAACCATTCAAAACTTACTCTTGCTTTGGTTTAATTACTGGGGTTTGGTTTTGTTTTTTGTGAGGATGCTGACTTATTTTAGTTCAGTTCTGAAACACTAATTGAAATCCTGTTGCAGGGTTAAACAAATGACATAATTTTTAGATGTGAACAGCTCTGAGTTCAGCAGTCTTCTTAGACATTACCTGTTGCATGCTGCATTGGATGACTCAGCATACAACAGATGGTCTCTTCCAAGATTTCTTAATTCACGTCTAAAACTATGTCAGTTGTGTACCGGCACAGCAGGACTTTAGTCACTGTTTCTTCTCCTAAGATCTCTGTACACTTATACAGAAACAGAGGGAGGAATAACAGGGATCAACAGAAGGAACAGGATATTTGCTGAAGAAAGACAAATGGATCTATCTTTTCGATGTTTTCCCATAATTACTGGTAGCAGTGGGTGTGTTATTAAAATCTGAGCAGATGAAATTGTTATTCTCCCAGTCATCAGGCAAGCTGATGTTTCTTGTCTTTATGGAGAAAGGTTTTGAGAACATTTGATACAGGAAACCCATCTGCACAGAAAGAGCAATAAAAAAGCAGCTACGTGCTTTTCAGTTAAATTGCACAATGATGTGGAATCCATTAGATTCTTCAACCTCTAGGAACTAACATCTCTGTCAGTTTAAATTTATTTAGGAGATCTGTAGTGTACAAATATTGGTGTGAAACTCTAAACGCTCCTGCTCAGTCTGGAGATTCCCTGAGAGACAGTCTTGAGGAATGGGTGCCATGGGTCCAGTTTGCTTCAACCAATAGAAAGGAATACATTAAAAAGTATTTTCCTGATACAAATGTAATACTATAATCATGGGACTCTGAGAATAAAGTACAGACACATAGAGTAGACACCACATGACTGCTAGTCATTGTGGAAATGATAAATATAGTGGTGCCTCGCTTAACGGGCGCCTAGTCGTTGTGGAAATGATAAATACAGTGGTGCCTCCCTTAACGGGCGCTCTGTTAGCGATGAAATCGCTTAGCAATGACTTTTTCAGAGCGTTTTTGCGCTTTGTTTAGCGATGGTCACTATGGGCGATTTTCACTTAGCGATGGTTGGGACCATGCTTCGCATAGCGGTTAAATTTTGGGTCCCCTGTTTCGCTTAACGATGGTTTAAACAGCCTCATGTTTGCTGTTTTTTAAATGTTTTTCTGTTATTTATAAAGTTTACTGTTTAAAATGTTTGAAATCATAAAGTGCACTTAATAAACCCTTTGTTAACCAAATTTGACTTTATTCTGACTCTTTTTAAATTTCTTGTTGTATTTTTTTTCACGATTGAGATGCATTGAATAGGTTTCAATGCATTTCAGTTGGGGAACCGCGTTTCGCTTAGTGATGTTTCCTATGGCAATTTTCGCTTAAGGACAGCAATTTGTTCCTATTGGAACGGATTATCTGGTTTTCAATGCATTTCAATGGGAAACCACATTTCACTTAGCGATGAAATCGCTTAGCAGCGATTTTTTTGGAACGAATTAACATCGCTAAGCGAGGCACCACTATCCATAGAATAACTACAGTGAATCAGTGCTATAAAGCAAACATGACATTTAAATTATAAACTAAATGTAAACTGAACTAAGTAATAATATTTACATCAAGAAAAACCAATATAGCCTCCTTGGCTAAAGGAATAGGCATTGGTTGTATTTATAAATTAATGCAGCATAGAATATTCCTTTATAGAGACTAACAGAGTCCCTGTATACCAGCTGTAAAGAAAGACATGAATGTAAAAGCAAAAGTGTGAAGCATGGCCACGCTAATTTGCTGCCACAAAAACAACAGTGTCTTGTGGCATCTTAGGGATCAGTACATATATTGGCATGTATTTGGCATAGGTTTTCAGGGACTGCAGTCCACTTCATCAGATGAAAAGGGGCTGCAGGCCAGGACAGTTTATGGCAATAAAGCTGGTTAGTCTTTAAGGTACCATGAGAATCTTTATCGTTTTTACTGCAACCAACTAATATAGCTGTCCTGCCCCTGAAATTATTCTATTGAGGTACCCAGTATAACTTTTTAATGATAATTCATGTAGATATTTAATATGTTATTCGCATGATCTGTACAGTGTCTGCTTGTTATTTACCCTGATAGATGCATTGCTCATGGTAGCTGACCGCTTTGATGGACCATCCAATGTAGATGTAGTAATTGGTACAATTCATACAAGGATTGCAGAAGCCATTTCTAACATGCAAGAGAACAAAGAATCTATAAAAGCCAAGGTAAGAAGAGAAAGGCTGATAATGTTGTTCACCTAATACATATCTTTCTTTTGTTGTATTTCCATCATGCTATTTTTCCACAGGGCTTGAGGTGGCCTCTGTGATGGGTTTTCAGGTAGTCTTGCATGCAGGTAACACATCAAATTCAGACATTGCTTAGCTTCCGTGTGGTTGTTGTGTCATCGGTCTTGGGCCATGCTGTATGAATTTTTTGTATATACCATTTTTAAATAGGTAATCCATAACAAATTAACAGCAAAGAATTCCCACCATTTCTACTGCTAGTGTTAAGCCCTGATTGTCGTTTCTTGAATACAGAACAGATGGTGATGGTATTGTTCTGTTAACTGATAGGGATCCTAAACCTGCCCTGGCTTTTATTATCTGTACATTTGCTGAAAACTGTCTTCTACCAGGAAAATTTCACCTATCCTTTCTTCATCCCTCTTGATTTCAGAAGACTCCCACCGATGTTTTTCTGAGCGGAATGTGATACATTAATCCTGCATGGGGGGAGTTTGCCCTGTCATCATTTCTAAAACTCTTGTAGGTCCCTGTACAATTGAGGCCGGTGTTAATGACAGAATAATTTGTGTTCCTAAAGCCCAGTTGCTTTTCCCATGACTCCTGAGAACTGTAACTAAGAGATGCTGATGGAGAATTAATCGGGAGCTGACTGGCAAGCACATAAGTCATTGATAGGCCAGTAGGGAAGGGGGTGAAGGAGAACAGAAGGTAGGGGGAGAGAAAGAGAAAGCACAATGATACTACGCAAAATACAGTGTTAGTACAAAGGAAATAGAGCTATCAATTTGGAGAGAGAAGGCATGAGGGAGTGAATGAATCTCTACCTTTCAGAAGGTGTTTTTTTTTCATTGTTCTTGCATGTTTTATGCCTCTGAAAGAATTGCCTTGAAATAACCACAATAATAAACTAAAAATGGGCAAGCTACAGTGATGAAGCTGGAACCATGTTCCTTCATAAAATAAATGCCAGAAACCTTTATGTACAATTATTAAAAAGAAATGGATAGCAAGGCAGCATAATCTCCCTACTGTTATGCGAATAGCTGACAAAGACCAAGGCACACCATGTATGACAGCTCAGCCACCTATGAACATAGGATAATTATCTGAAATGCCATTCTAGGGTAAATAAGCTAAATCATTTTCTACTACTTGTCCTGCCCTACCATATCGTTTTTCATAATTTTTGAAGGAAAGCACAATAATAATTCAGTGGGTTTACTGTTTTTTCAATAGTTCAGATGGTAGAATGAAAGGCTACAGGGCCCGTTCCACCCAGGGATCTTTACCTAGGTGGTTGAATTCTGGATAGAAGGAAATTTGATTTTGAAAAGAGCTGTTGCTCTGTGGTGGAGCATGTGGTTTGCATACAAAAAGGTCTCAGTTCAATCATCAGCATCTCCACCTTGGGGTGGGAAGATCCTCATCGGAAACCCTGGAGAGTTACTGCCATTACTGTGCAAGATGGACGAGTGGTTTGTCTTTAAAGAAGAAAGCTACGTATGTTTTAAAGCAATGAAAGCCTAGACAGTAAAGTCTTTGGTATTTCAGAGAGAGAGAGAGAAAAGGGAATTAAAATGTTGAGTTAGAAAAAATACCATACAACTGTGACTCCATGGGGGGGGTGGGAGTTGTCTTCAAAGAGTCTTATGGATGTTTTTTCTCCAGACCTTTCAAGGTTGTGGAAATCCTAAAAGCAACCCTAAAGCTTCCAACATTGAAGATAAGAAAAGGCGGGGAAAATATGTCAGTGAAGATAAACCTTCCTCACTGAATTCAGAGAAACTTGTAAGTATGGAATTTATCTCTACAAATACTTTTCGAAGAACTCTTGTGCTAGAACAGTCTGAGTGGGCCTTGTTGCTTGTTGGACCTGCTGAAGACATTGAGTGGTCACAACTGACCAGATAGGCAGGATATATATATATATATACATTATTGCATACCAAGTTGCACAAATGGGTATGCAACAGATAATGTCTACGGAGGTTCCTTAACTTTAGGCAATTTGCAGCCAAATGTTATACCTTTTGGGTAGCAGCGTAACAGGATTTCAGTGAAAAGTTTGTAAATATGCTAGGTTGAATGACAGCAAGTCTTTCTGGACCTAGTCTTGCATCCTAGAATTCCTCATCCTAGTTTAATTGTTCTTCAGTATCAAGTGATTATGCTGTCCCCATTTTTATAAAAAACCTCAGATCATAATAACGTCAACACCATGCAGCATGTGAGCTGCTCTTGCTTTGCAACTTCCACTCCTGCATTCATGGCTGCCTTTTTTCTAACCCAGAGCTTGGAAGTTACATTCTAGAAATAATAATTACTTACTTGTAATTAATTCCCTTTTTGTTACAATAACCAATGTATAACTAAATAATTTTAAGGTTGTAATATAACAAGGCATAACTTTCGTAGTTAACTGCAACTGTTTTAGTTGCTTTTATAGTTACAGGATGTACGTAGCCTCCTAACATAGATATACTGTGTACTATAGTCCAGTGGCTTGTAGCATTCTGTAAAGTACTGTAGTAAAGAATAATATGAATATTGTTTCCTCTTTTATTTTTGGAGGTAATATACATTAGTGTCAGTGAAGTTCACGGTCCAGTGGCAGCAGTACACATACCATATTTTTCCGTGTATAAGATGCCCCCATGTACAAGACACCACCCACTTTTCTAACCCAAAATTTAGAAATCTAAGTGAGACTTAGCAAGTGGAGGGGAAAGCAGGGATCAAAGCCCTACAGGATCACTTTGATCCCTGCTTTCCCCTCCACTTATTTTTGTTCTTTCCTCAGCTTACTTCCGTGTATAAGACAACTCTCAGTTTTTAGTCCAAAAATTTTAGACAAAAGTATAGTCTTATACACGAAAAATACAGTATATTCATCTGCTATTCAGAATTTATACTGACATACACCAAATCAATTTACATCAGTGATGGCCTTCACAAACAAGGAATAATATGTCATCTCAAAGACTCTGATATATTACAGCATAAATATCTGCAGACTTAGATATTGTCCTGGAATCTAATCCACATGCACCTATGCCAGAATAGATCCATTAGTTCATAAAAGATCTATAAGACGCTGTTCCTTCTGCTGACAGCCCCTCTCTCAGCAAAAAAACAACTACCGTAGCTACCCATCTAGAAGTCAGAAGGTTGCTCTTTTGTTACCACTAAATACCTGCTCCGTTTCTTCATCCCTTTGTTGACCTTGCTCATTGTCAAGCCCTTATGCCATACTTGTAGTTATACTCCAGATCTGGCATCTTAAATGGTTTGGCATCTTAAATTATTTGTCTTTGTTGCTCTGCCTTAAGGGGGCTTTCACAAAAAATTGATCTGATAGCTTTCTGATCTATGAAATAATAGGTTTGGTGAAGTAAACTACCTTTAACTGCATACTGAAAAAGATAAGGATCTTACATAAGGATTTTGTATTCTTTTTACTGGAATAATAATTGTTCAACTTTTGAATCTTTAAAGAGTGAATCAGTTTACCTGTATTACAACTGGAATGTAGAAGCTTCAGCATTAAAAAATAAATGCTTCTCTGAGATTTGATTTCCTTCCTCTGTCAGGTGTCAGATGCCAAAGGGAAGCTGAGGGAAATAAGAGACTTCTGGGTTGCCCTCCCAACTACACTTTGCAATGAAAAAATATCATCTGGTTCTGTGAGTGAGGACAGGTGCTGGAATGGAATGACCAAAGGCAGGTAAGGCTTGTCAGAAAGTGAAGTATTCCAAGTGTGAAGAAAACTAGCCTGTTTAAATAGATTACAGTTCTCTCATGTGCCACTTTCATAAAGTACAGGTGAAATTCTATGTTGGGAATGACTAAGAAAGAAAAGGCATTGTCAGTGAAGGAAAGAAAGTTATAAATCCCCGAGTTTCTGTCCTGTTCTTGTTGAAAGGAGACCTGTCACCACTTCACCATCCACAACTGTTTATAGGAAAAAAGCCAGTTGTGTTTTTGTCCCATACAACTAGTTCAGATATTGTGAACTTTGAAAGTCAACCGGTCTGAAAACATTCCTACATTTTGTGCTAGCAGATTTCACAGTTAAACTATGCATTATACAAAGAATATTTCCTTTTATCAGTCAGTAATCTCCCACTGGTCATGGCCACTGGTCCCATCACCTCCTGGGAAATAGAAGGTGAAGATATGGAGGCAGTGACAGATTTTACTTGCTTGGGCTCCATGATCACTGCAGATGGAGACAGCAGCCCCGAAATTAAAAGACGCCTGCTTCTTGGGAGGAAAGCAATGACAAACCTTGACAGCATCTTAAAAAGCAGAGACATCACCTTGCCAACAAAAGTCCGAATAGTCAAAGCTATGGTTTTTCCTGTAGTGTTGTATGGAAGTGAGAGCTGGACCATAAAGAAAGCTGACCGCCGAAGAATTGATGCCTTTGAATTGTGGTGCTGGAGGAGACTCTTGAGAGTTCCCTGGACTGCAAAGAGAACAAACCTATCAATTCTAAAGGAAATCAACCCCGAGTGCTCATTGGAAGGACAGATCCTGAAGCTGAGGCTCCAGTACTTTGGCCATCTCATGAGAAGAGAAGACTCATTGGAAAAGACTTTGATGTTGGGAAAGTGTGAAGGCAAGAGGAGAAGGGGACGACCGAGGATGAGATGGTTGGACAGTGTCATCGAAGCAACCAACATGAATTTGACACAACTTGGAGGCGGTAGAGGATAGGAGGGCCTGGCGTGCTCTGGTCCATGGGGTCACGAAGAGTCAGACACGACTAAACGACTGAACAAACAAACAAACAATCTCCCACTATTCAGCATCATATGACCCTTACATTTCCAGTTAAGGGCATTCCTAAAATCCAGTTTAGAATCACTTTGGGTTATGAAGTGAATTTGTCAGAATTTGATAATATATAACCAGGGTTACTGATGGAAATAAAGACAAACCAAGATGAGGGTGGATTTTGTGCATTAGAAGAAGTGTGAGGAGCTCAGTCTCCAAAATATGTTAAAATTCCACATTCAGTGTTATAGTCACACTATCATGAACTGCTGAATAGCTCAGGGATGTAGGCATCTGGCTATGGAACCAAAGTTTGGGAGTTTGATTTCCCACTGTGTCTCCTTGACAGAGCCTGGACTCAGTGACCTAGAGCAGTGGTCCCCAACCTTGGGTCTCCATATGTTCTTGGACTACAACTCCCAGAAGCCTTCACCACCATTTCTGCTGGCCAGGATTTCTGGGATTTGAAGTCCAAGAACATCTGGAGGCCCAAAGTTGGGGACCACTGACCTAGAGGGTCCCTTCCAGTTCTAAATTGATGGTGGTTATGGTGGTGATGATTATTACATCTTCTGGAATGTTGTTTCATGGAAAATGCAAACACAAATGCAAAAGGAAGGAAGGAAGGAAGGAAGGAAGGAAGGACATAGCATATTGACCAGAATACTGGTGGAGACAGCAGCAGAATTGTGGGATGCCAAGCTTCATGTATAGGTTGTTGGTTCATTCAGACATAACACCAGCCTGTAGTTGGAACATTACTTGCACAAGCAGCAGTTAGCTTTGTGATGTCACCCTGGTCCTTCCTCCCTTTTCCTCTTGTAAGGACACCAAAAATACACACATCTTCCTTTGAACTGTGTTTTGTGCTGGCTACTTTCAACAAAGGATCCCCACACTTAGTTTAAAACAGAAGTAGGCAACAATGGCCTTCCAGGTGTCTTTTGCCAATAATTCCCATCAGCTCTACTCACCATAGCCAGAATTGAAGGATTATGAGATTTATGGCCTAAAATCATCTGGAGGAGTACAATTACCCCAACCCCAGTTTAATAACAAATGTGAGTGCTTCCCACTTATTTGTGGTCATTCCAGAAAAAAATGGCTGGGGAGGAAAACAAGCAGGTTATGTGTGCATATTATATCTATTACAGTGATGTCTGATAGTCCACAACTTGACTCTCCAGATGAATATACATTCTCTTTGCAGATATCTTCCAGATGTGATGGGAGATGGTCTAGCCAATCAAATCAATAACCCAGAGGTTGATGTAGATGTCACCAAGCCAGACACAAGCATTCGCCAGCAAATCATGCAGTTAAAGATCATGACAAGTCGATTGCGCAATGCGTATAATGGAAATGATGTGGATTTCCAGGATACAAGTAAGTGTGGTTCTAAGATGAACCTGTGCCATAAGGAAGGTTATGGACTTATTTGCTCAATCACAGAATCGCTGTCTATAGAATTCCATGTTTGGGAAACATCACAACATTAATATCCACTCAGTTCTGTGTCTGAATTTAATATATGGCAAGCATGTTGAAGTGCTGGCAAGTTGGCCACTACCAGTATTGCCACTTTCTGCTGACACTCAAGGATTGGCTAGAATTTCCTTCCAATTCAGACAGGCTTTTAGCAATGGACAGGCTAAGAAAGAGGCTTTGTAAGGATTAGTACAGTTTAAAAAATAAAATAAAATTTGTAGTCATATTTGAAGCTGCATCTCAGTAGTTCCCTAATAATACAATTTAGTGTGCTTTTTGCCTTTACCTGTATCTGCTTTGGGCTGTTTTTATTGTTTTTAGCCTTGTTTATAAGCTGCCTTAAATGCCAGTTCTGGGCAAAAGCTTAAGTATATGTCAAATAAATAAATAATGCTCTGGCATAAAGTCCTGCCATTTTGGCCACAGGGCATAAAAATCCATAGCATAGTTGTTTTTATTTCTCTTCCTCTAGTATATTGGGACTGTTTATTCACTATCTTTACACAAGGGTCTCAGAGTCTGCACACCCAGCGCTACATGCAGTGTTCAGATTTCAGCTCCCTCATGATTACCCAGTGTTTCCTCAAATCTTCCATAACCATCAACACCTTAGTTCACTGGTCCCCAACCTCGGGCCTCCAGATGTTCTTAGACTTCAACTCCCAGAAATCCTGGCCATCAGAGGTGGTGGTGAAGGCTTCTGGGAGTTGTAGTCCAAGAACATCTGGAGGCCCAAGGTTGGGGACCACTGCCTTAGTTGACTCTTTCTGTCTTCTGGATGTGCTCATTTAGCAAGGACTGCAGGCTTTGGAAGATGCCTTCAACTCAGACTGGTCATTCAAAACTGACACAGTCATTTGCCACCTCTGCAGGCCTGTTCATGGAGTGGATATTTCAAAACTATTAATGATTTATTATTTATTAGTTTATGCAAACATTTTTAGCAGTCTTGCTCTTCAGCTGAAAGGGCTTCCAAGGCAGTTTATATGCGATCAATAAAACAAGATAGTCCTTGTTTGGTGATTTAAACAACAAAAGGTTGGAAGAGGTTGGAAGGGAAGCAGGAAGCACATCCAGGCTTCAATTCTGAAAGTTAAATTGTGTCCATTATTATCAGCTAAAAGTAAAAGAGTCCAGGAACAGGAGAAACCCAATGGAGCTGGTATTTCTGCAGTCAATGGAATGATCCTGCTTCCTATCTTTTTCTGACGGGATGCCTGCCACCTAATGTTACGGACTCAAAAGACTAACGAGAGCTGTTTATTTCTGATCAGTTATTTTAGAATATGCCATCTCATTCCTTGCTCTAATATTTAGTGGCTCTCCTGTGTTGTGGATTCAGCTCTTTACACGAGACTGCATTCACTCTAGTTTACTATGAATGGAAATTAAATGATTTCATGAGCATATGACTGACCTTTGTATTATGGCTGAACCCACTTTCAGCAGATTCTTGGTGGCTTGTTTATATGTGGGTAAAATTGAATAAAGTATGTGGTGCCATCTAGTCCTTCTTCCTGCCCTACCTACCAGTTTCTTCATTGATTCATTCAACTGATGTTCTTAACAGGCCACTGGGAATATGCCTTCTCCAGCTTTTCAGTGAGGTCTGTTGCACATTTGATGAACTGCACACAAACATAAGAACTGCACCATCAACTTGAACTTTATCTTGTGCAGGTGATGACATCAGCGGCTCCGGAAGTGGTGATGGTTGCTTTGATGACATGTGCGGCAAAAGACTGTCCAAGACTGCTAGCACCAGGCCACCAGAGATACATATTATGCCTAACTCAGGACAAGGTCTCGGTGGAAGAAGCAGTGGCAACAACAGTAGCAACAGCATACTTTTGCCTTCTTATTATCTTTTATTACTTTCTTTGGCTGCTCTAGCAATGCAGTACCTGCGACGGTAACTTGTTTGCACAGCCATAAAAGAGACTCTGGTGGTTGAGGTCTTAACTTTGCCAAAAATGTGGACATATTTAATTCATCCTGGCAAAATGAGGGAGATCAGAGTTCTTGATTGTTTGTGATAACCTGGCAGTGCTAGAACTGGTCTTTTTATTTTTATTTTTTATTCTGGTATTGTTTTGAATGCTGGGCCCTTCTTTCTGTACCTCATAATAAAAGAAAGAAATTAGCTTGCCACCAAGAGGCACCCAGGGGCTACAACAGATCTTGGCAGATAGGTTTAATGGGAAAAAGAAAAAGTGGCCCTCAATGCAAACCCATTTTTATTGACTGCAATAAAATATGCAATTTATTTCATATTTTTATTTAATGTCCAAGAACATGCTACTCCAGTTTAGAACAGTACATTTTTTTTAATTTAAAGATTTCCAGTGTTCTATAATGGGAGGGCCATTTTGTATTTTTCCATTAAACAAGTGGCAAATGGTCTTTCTTTTGCTTTGATGTAGGAGCACTGGTTCTATACTATGTTGATTAACAGAAAGATCTCTTCTCTTGGAGTTTAGAATGGAAGTCCTCTAATTTTCAACTTTTTTCACTGCTAAAGTTAGTTACAGAAACCACTTATTAATCCTCCTACATCCAAGTGACCTGGAATGAGACCTAGGTTTTGCATGATCCTTTGAAAGTAGCAGTCAACCTGATAAAATTGCAATACAGCTGCATAATATGCAACCATGCAGTAGAAATATGCTTAGGGAGAGATTTCTGCCCAACAAGCTCGTCTTCAGTCTGAGGCTGAAAAATCTTCCTATCATGAACAGTTGCAACTGTCAACTTTTACCAAAGGGACAATGCAAATAAACTGTTTTGTGAGGTTCTATGTAATACTTGTCCTGTTAGCAAAGCCTGAAAGGGCTCAATGGAGGCATCCAAGGAGCCTTTTAGATCCTATCAAATACACATGGAAGTTTGTTTGGATATATCAGATTTTTCAAATAAATGCAATGCTGGTCTTTTGAGGCTGTCCTCAGGTCTATCAGTTATGTTGATGGTAAGCAGACCAAAGCCATAGTGTACATCGTCAAATCAACCTAATGTGCCCTGCTTTTGTGTTGCATTGGCTTAGGTAACCCTATGCTATCTGATGGTTATATAGAACAATTACATCATTTAAAAAATTCTTTGTATGAATTATTTGTCAGGGATGTTGTCTGATAGAAAAGTGATGGTTGAAGTAGAATGGGGAACACACACACACACACACACACACATACACACACACACACAGACCCCACCCCACACCACCCCCACCACACCACCCCGGGGGGGGGGGGCAATGGTGCTTCTACAACAATCTCTTTTGGTTCTTTACATGCATTTGCCCTACAGCCATAGGTGTTTTTCCCCTCTTTTTTTCCAAACAGATTTAGTGCATCAGGGCAATCCTTCTGAATTACCTGAACAGTGGGAAGCCCTTGACATAAACGCTGCTGTTAATTTTTCTTCTTCACATGATTTTTCTTTTGGAGAGCAAGGGAGAGTGAAAATGTATTTTTTTTACATTTTTACATTAAAATATAGCCTTTGCATAAAGGTTGAGACATTTCTATGCTGTGTCTTGCATCAAAAACAAATGTGTTTCTTAACCACAACATTCAAAAGGGCAGAAATGTATGGATTGTAAAATATACTCAGTCACAAAAAAGAGAGAGAAGCTCTTCTAGCCATCCTGGCATTAGAAGTGGTGAAACCGTGAACAAGCAACTTAATTCTTTGCCTGGTTCAGTCAGTTTCTATGCAGCAGTGGAAGAAGTTAATTTCTGAATCACTCCCATCAGTATTGGAGGTGACCAATATCATTGCTTGAGTTTTGAAAAAATGGTAATAAGAATTTGGTGCCAGCAAAAATCCTTTGTTCAAGCTACACCTGCTTAGCACACAGCACTTGAAAGCCCGTGTGTGCACAACAGTATCCCTATCCACTTTTATTACTGATTTAATCAATCTAATATATTTATATATATATTGTTTTTGTTTTTAATTACACCATTCATAGGATGGTTCTGACTACAAACAACTCTTGAAAATCAAATATCCTGCCTGTTTTGAATGTAAACACAAATGCCAGATAAAAATAGAGTGCCACATTCAAATAATGTTTCATACATACAGTAGCTTTCTTTTGGTACAACAAATATAAAGAAATGAACTGCTGTTATACACAATGCAGGAGAAAATGACACAGCTGTCGAGTTCTGTTCCCTGTGCCATGAACTCACAAAATTCAGGACCTGGCTAAGATATGTTAAATGGCACATCATCAATGTAGAGACTTTAAAAAACCAACCCTTAATACTACCCAAATCACATGTAGAAAACAAAAAGGGAACAAGACAAAAAAGTTTAGAACAAAAGCACTGTGCAAGTGCAGACGGCTGACCAATCTTTCATCAAGTTATCCACAGCTGCTGCTCCTCAAGCATGTAGAACTTCTGAGAGTTGTGGTCCAAAAATGAACTTTCCTATGTTGTGCAGACATATTTCTCCTAGCCAGCTTTAGGGAGCAAACACTTATAGGGGAGGCAAGGCTGCACAGAAGTAAGCATGGGCAGGAGGGTATTTAGCACCCTCTGCTTACGTTTTCCTTTTGCTCTAAACTCCAAATGGCAAATTCTTTGTTTCATACATCCTGGAAAAGACCTTGAATCAAATGAGTGAGTCTGCTACTGTCCAATGTATTGCTTAACACTGTCCTATGCTTATGAGATCTGGTATGTTCTTATTGGAATGTTCTTAAACCTTCCTGTTCTTAGCAAGACGGCAGCACTTTGTTTTGATGTTAAAAACACTAAGCCATTGCGCATACTAGTGGATTGAGTAATTTGGCAAAAAAACTTAAAACCAGACCCCTTGCAAAATTGTCAGCCAGTAACCAGAATTGTGGATATAGAGTCCATTGTTTGTGCCATGATGTCTGTATCAGCAGCAGGATGGGGCAGTATCAGCTTTAAGAGCACTAATATTTATGTTTCACAAATGACAAACAACCTGTTGTTTTCTGGTGGGCTTGTTAGGGAGTTAAAAGTACTAATGTATCCAGAGTACACCTTGGGTCTTGTTTGTTTTTTTGAAGTGCAGTTCTATCTGCAAAACTAGATTTTTTTTTTCATTTATTGGCACATTTGGCCATTTATATTTTTCTTTTGATTTCCAAGGTACTTGTAACTATCTTGCACTGTTGAACTATGTTCTTTGAATCCTTGTATAAATAAAAAAAGGCTGGAGACTTAAATCTTTATGAATGCCACTTGCAGCAAGGTATTGTTTGATTTTTTTCTGTTTTTTAGGGTATTAACAGACTGCCTTTGGTAGTATCAAAGAATGTGTCAGCCTGCTTATAGTAACAGTGTAGAAAAGTGATTCAATAGCTTGGGAGCAGTGCCAAAAATACATATCTCAACCAATATCAGGGGGAGCACTCCTCAAAGCCAGTATATTGAGTTATGTTCTCTGGCGGAATTCAGTTGGCCTTGGTCTTTAGACAGTACATTTAAAATTGCAGCCTTAATCCTAAAATTTGGAGGCAATGATAAGTCATCTGGCTATTTCTTCTTTAGGCACCATTTCTGTGGTGCACCTACTTTCTACATATTGTCTGGTTGTTTTGTGGGAGGGGTGGGGAAGGATGTTTGCGGTGTTGGACTATATGCCTTGTTAGATCCCTATTTATTTAAAGCTGACATAGTTGTGGGCTGATTTAAACTTAACTACACTTAATTGATACCAATATGTGCATATACTGGTGTCTCGGGCATTATTTCCAACCAATGGCAAATGTTCATACAATTGTTTACAGTGTGGGCTCTCCAAGTTCAATTGCAGAGCTTAATGTGAAATAAAGTTTTTCACACGTAAATCTGCTTTGTGTGTGAAAACTCCTATCATACTGAGCTCTCCAATCCAACTCACTCAGTCCATACTGCAGAATGAAATGCATGTTTCAACTATAAATTGGATCAGCTTTCAAACTAGATAAAGAAGAAGCACAATAGCCTTGTGTAGGAAAGAAATACTCCCATTCAGTAACTTGCTTTTGTATCCAATTCATTTATTTATGGGCACAATTTCAACACACATACACACTTATACCTTAAGGCATTTCTCCCTCTGTGAATGACCCATATCTTTGGAAAGATATGGATATTTTAAGCGGGTCAGAATGAAGATGCCAAGACAGTCAAGACACTGACATTGTTCCAGGGGGATCTATTCTCTAACCCACAAGTTGAGTCAAAATGTGGGAATAACCTTTTGTTACACTCACAATTCAAGGAAATCAAGCCACAGAATTTCCAAATGTGAAGCCCCTCTATATGTGCATGCTTCTATCAGTAATGCCAAATAAACACATTATTTTCTTGTGTTCCTGATTTGTATTTCTCTGAATAAAACATATCCAGAGGACCCACAAACACATAATGATGGTCTGCAACAAAAGGCATGGAAACAAACTCCTCCATTGTCATAATGATGTCCTGGATGAACAACCTAGTTCATAACAGCTCAATTTGGTACAAGTATGCACAGGTTGATGATGATGTGGTCTAAAATCAATTATGAAAATGAATCCAACCAAGCCACACAAATAGTTGTGCACACAAGAGTGAATAAGGACTAGAAGGTAATACTGTAGTTTCACACAGTATATTATTTCTTTAGCCCACAATCCTAAACAGTCTTTTCTTTAGCCCACAATCCTAAACAGTCTTTTATGAAATGAGTCTCATTAAAGTCAATGGATCTTTTAGGTAGACACTGAATAGGATTACACTGTAGAGTGATTTAAACATATCCTGTAGCCACCACAAAAGCAGGAAATGGTAGAAATATTATTTCTAAAATACCTTTATTGTGTAAATATTAAATGTTACATCACAGATACAAAAAGTTATCAAAAACCAACAGATGAATTTTTTTTCCCATTCCAGTGCTAGAATATTGGGATCACAATCAGTAGCCTGACATCTCTCCACTGGATTAAGATCTGGAAACTCAATGCTGTCACTCAATTGCAAGCCCCCAAAGGTACCTACTGATTGCAACAGGATCTTTAACTGAACAGATCACTAGTATGCATGCATCTGGTGAGGCACTGCACATGCAGAGTCCACATATGAAACTGAAGGCTTCAAATAATGTAATCACATTTTCAGTTAAGACCACCTCTGTGCTCTCCTAGTAACTTAAACAGAATTTGAGCCATATGGTCTTCTACTCTGATCCTCTGGGTCCCATAGTCTTGATCCTGAAGTCTGTAAAGGTCACAGGATTAAAGACGAGGAACTAAAGATATGTAGGTGTTGACTGAACCAGCCTGTTGAAGTTCCTACCAGCTCTATAGAGAAAAGGTTTCTCTCTCATCTACTTTCTGGTCATGTCTGTGTATAGAAAATGAAGTGACTAGACCTCCATAGGTATTCAGAGTCTGTAGTCTTTAGAACTCACAAAGCAAAAAGACTTCAGACTTGTTTTGTTTTTGTTTTGTTTTGTTGCTTTGTTTTGTTTTGTTTTTAAGTTCATATTGCTATACTAACAGAATGGCACTACAGAAATAGAACAGCCTGGACGTGGGGGAGCCCTTTTGCCTACTGATGTTATATTAGACACTGAGGGACTCAGACATTGAGGAGGCCACAACAAGGGGTGAAAAATAAGAAGAGGATGCTGCCCTCTAGCTCTTTCTATGTGGCACCTTCAGGAGATCCACCACAGATTTCTCGAGCAAACATCCATATAAGTTTTATACTTTTTAAATGAGAAAAGCTTTGGTTTCACACTTGTACAGAATTTACTTTGGAAAAACAGAGATATTTAGCTACTACATCCATGAACGGAATTACCTGGCATAAATTCAAACACCGGAAGTGGCTTTCAGTACTGATGCAAGACTGCTCAGATCTTCAAGCCTTCCTTATTTTCCCATCCCTCCTATACAGCATTTTCCATATATGTCAAATTATAGGTCACCAAGACCAGGGCAAAATGCCTGCATTTATATGAAACTATAGTTCCCTGTGTATGGGAGATCTGCATGGCTGCTGCTCTTCTCAGGTCCCCCTTTCGATTTCTCAGGTTTTCCTCTCCACTTGTCCTCTTTTAAGAGCTTGGCCTTCTTCTCTTCCATTTTATGTCTGGGTAGTACCGGCTTCTTTTCCTTTATCTCCTTCGGTTTCCTGTGTGGAGGAGCCACTTTGCCTTTTGCCCCTCGACTACGTCTACGCATTCTCACTGTCAAAATAGATATATGTATATAAATACGTAATTGGCATTTTGTAAAGCAGAGTATTATAGGTCAGAATTTTATGACAATCTTATGCAAGAATGTACTGAATTACAAAGGTGGGAGTAAAGATGGTTATTCATCACAGAAGATATTGTTGTTACTGGTTTAAAGCACTCCTGTCAGGCTTCTACCCTGTATGGCCCTGTAGGTTGTAACCCTATGAAATTATTATTACGAATTTCACTTGAGAGAATCCAAGCCAGGATTTTATATGCTATCTGGTTAGCAATAAAGTATAAAGTGCAGGAGTTCACCTCTTTGGAATGCAAATGGTATACCTAGACCTTGGAAAAGTTCTTGGGAGTCTGCATTGGGGAAACAGCAGGGTATTAAATAAATGAAAGAATGAATAAAATGATACTTTGGTAGCCCAGATTCCCAGAAACTCTAGTCACCATGTCCACTTGCATGAACTCACACTGTTTTGCTGCTGAATCTTTGAAAAGGATTTCATATATCTATTTACTTATTTATTTATTCAGGTTTGTACCCTGCCTTTCTGCCAAAGAAAGGCAATCCAGAATGCACAAATAAAAACAAAATTGTGACCAGAATATAACAGAAAAGCCAATAAATCAAAAGTATAATATCACAAGCAATTAATTTCTTCTCAACAAACTAGCTTAAATATCAAAATCTGCCTGGAAAAAAATGTTCGTCAGTGGAAGGCCAACAGTGAACGGCTCCACAGTTTCCCCTGAAAACTTCAAAACTTGGACAGATTTGTACAGGAGAACATGACCTTTCATATACCCAGTTGTATTAGGCTTTGTAGGTCATAGACAGTACTCTGAATTGTCCCCCAAAACTGACAGGTATCCTGTTACACTGTTGTAAACAAAGGAGTTGGTGTTTCCTGTAACTGGCCCTAGTCAACAGTCTGATTGCCACATTCTGGGGTAGCTGAATGCTTTTCAGCTCATCATTTTAAAAAGGCAGCCCCATGTGGAGCATGTTGCAGTAGCCCAAACAAGATCTAATCAAGAAATGTATCACCATGCCTTTGCTCTCATTCTTACTACCAGGAAGAATGAGAGCAAAGGCATATTAACCCTTAGGCATCCAAGCCCATTTTTATTTGGCCAATGCTTTAACAACTACTTATTTATGTAAATCTTTCAATATTTAAGAAAGGGATTTTGTTTTTCATGCTATTTGATGTTTCCATTATTTATATAACACTCAGCAATTTTTAAATGCAGAATAGTTTGTAAGTACAATAAATTAATAACACAGAATCAAGAGTAATAGAGATAGAGCTGGTTTCTTCTCTCCCCCCCAATATACTTGCATTGTTTATCAAAAGGTGCCTAGCAGTCTTTTTGGGGAGGGGTACACAAGAACAGAAGTCTTCACCTATTCAGGAAGCATAGCCCTGTGCCCTTGGGAAGCTTTTTGGAGTCTTGGGACAGTAGGGGAGGCTTTAATATTGAAAAATCACTGCCAGAGCGACAATACCAATCTTGATCCAGTGGCATGACTGCCGGCAGCAATTTTCAAATATGAGCATGCTTCCCAAGGGCAAAAAGGGTCCCCAGGGAGCCTTGCAATCTGAAAAGAGGATATTTTGAATTAAATTAAATTTAAATTAAAGTACGGGACCATTCACACCATTTTTAACATTGTCAAATGCATTTCAGAATATAGGGCTTCAAAATAAAATGGTAATACAGACACAATATACAACGTTAGTCATGCTTTAGTCATGCCAGCTTACAATACAGAAACACAACACATGAAAGAAAACACCAATACTTGAAAACAGTCACTCAATAAATAAAAAGAACTAGACGGTAGCAGAAAAAACAAATAATAAGCATCACCATGTAGTTTTAACAAAAGAAAAAATGAGAAGCAAAACATCTACAGTTAGCGACTATCTGAAACACCAGAAAATAAATATGCTTAATGAAAAAGCAGTGTGAAAATTTGCTTACCAGACAAAAGTGAGGAGAATTCTACTTCATCAGACTCAGCTGCAGATGAAGCATCTTTTCCAGCAATAAAATAAGGGGCAAAGACATTTCAGAAATGTTCAACAATACAAAAATATTATGAATGCCTCAAAGGAACTCTGCCTTCTGTGGATGTCTATACTACAGTAATTTCTATACATTGCTAGAAATAAACAATGAGATTTACATTTAATTTATTGAGCAAATGGTGTTTACAAAGGGTTCTGATTATCCCATATACATTCTTAAGGTATACAGTATATGCTTTCATTTTGACAATAGTTCCAACATACATAACATGGAAAACAGAAATTACAGTTTAAAATCTTCAATTTGTACATTTTGTATACAAATAAATGCAGCATCCCTAGACTATGTTCACATGAATAGCAAACTTCAGTTTAATTACCTCAACACATCTTATCTTCAGCTTTGTTTTCTGAGAAGAAGTTAATTGAAGGAGGGAGCATTGATTTTATTTAAAGAGAAATAGATTGTTCCATATAATAAAATGCATTGAATAAATACTATGGAAATATGTTCATTTTTGTCGTCCCCCCCCCATCCCTCTTTAAAAAGCAAATCTAGTGAGCGTTGAAATTTTCTCATTTTTCTCGATATGAGCCTCTTGTGGAAAAAAATCTGTTTCTGTGCAAAATGTGCAACCACTACAGCTATCCATTGACTGCTAACACCTAACACTGTTCAACCATATTCATGTGCACATAGCCTACTAAATCAGCAATCATTAGAAACTTTACAAATAAAAAATCAACTATAGCTGAAACGTCACCACCAATTTCCTATGTGTCTTCATTTAAAGCACATTTTATACTTCCACTTGATGGGTTTTTTGTCCTTATGCTTTAGTGAAAGCATTACAGAGTCCCGATACAGGTCTTATCCTTTCAATTATTTGTTCCATCTCATGGAAATCTCATTGGATCATCCAATATGGCGCAACAGATGAAATACTGCTCGTGAAATTCTAATCTCTGTACAACCATAGAAATTGGTCGTTCTATCAACCCCCATTTAGTGTCTGTATGCTGGAATTAAGAAAACTGTGATGGCTGTCTCTTCCAGAAAAATACTTCTCTAAATTCTCACCACCGACTGGATCGTTTAGTGTGTTGGATTATCTGGCTGCAGAATCAAAGGTCAGGAGTTCAATTTTCCACTGTCCCTCCTGGGAAACCTATATAGCCCCAGAGTGCTGCCAGAAGAAGCGATTTCTGAGTACTTTATACCTAGGACACCCTGGCAAAAGTTGCCATAAAGCAAAATAATGTACTGACACATAATTGGTTGATTAAAGTTTTCACCATACACACTGAAATGTTTGCACAGAACTGACTGTGAATGGTACAGTATATGTTTTCCAGCTTGTTGGCTAAACCAGACTGATGTCACATCCCAGGTCATAGCCTCCGGTGGAATGAAGCCTATTAAGAATCAGGCTGATAAGAAGCACACACTTTTTTTGATGCCAGCTTGGTCCAATTCTTGGTGGGCAAAAACCCCACAATTATCTGGCACATTTGTGTGTTCAGCCTCTTATGAACAAAGCAATATTAAGGTATCCTCTTCTACAGCATCTAGAAACCTTTATTGTCTGTAACACTTTTTCCACCGAGGAAGAAAGTAAATCTTCCTAGCTATAGACTCAGCTTGACTGATGTTCAAAATTAATGTTTTCTTATTGCAAGTCTCCAAAAGCTTGCCACAGCTGCTTCATCCAAATGATGAGAATATTTTACCAGTTTCTCCATTCTTTGTATCTCCATTCTTACCCATGCATTGACTTTTTTCATCACATAAGGACAATATTTGAGTTTCCAGATTAATTAGAAGAAAACCGAACAGGATCCTTTATAACAACACAGAACAGTTACGACCACATCATATTCAACAGACAAGGCATTCTAATCTCCACTTTTAAGAGGATATCTTGAAAGCGAGAACAACCTTCTTTGAAATCACTCCTCTTGGCTCCAGCTCAATTGAATTTAATTTGCCTTTCAAGGCATTCTTTTACTTGCCTTTTCCTTGAGTTTCAAGGCTACAGGATTCAGGAATTTAGGTATATAAATAAATCCATATCTTTGGTACAATATACTGGTCACAAGAATAACACGTCACTGTACAAGCTGTCCATCTCTCTTTCATCATTCTCAGCCAATATTCTTAGAAGAGCAGAATTCCCAAGATCCAGTGTACCTTACCCATGATTTGCAAGATACTATGTTCTGAAGAAGAATTAAAACTCAGATTCGGCCCAAATGTATTCAATTCAGATCAAGTATTTTGGGGCATAATCACTTTAAAAAAGTGGGATGGGGTGTTTTTGTGCTGAATTTTAGAACACTTGCTTTGCAATAACTTGGATATTTGTCAAGAGCTTTGGAAGATTTAAATGTGACTTCCAAAATGAATTAACATATTTTTAAAAGGGACTTTATAACATACACAAATAGGTTTAGGATTAATGATGTCAGAAAACCTGATACCTCGACAAATCTGTCATCTCATGCTCAACATATGTGCAGAAATGATGATCAGGAATTTGGAGAATTAAGAAAAAAGTTGCACAGCTTTAGGTGAAATCCATTATTTTGACAGAAATACTGAACCATGTCTTAGCTTAGCATGTTGGAAATAAGGTACTGGTACAGAGTGGAGAAGTTCAACATGAAACTCCCATATGGGTGTCACCTCTAAAGTTTGTGTATACTGGAATTCCACACAGAAGCAATAACACATGAAAAGATGGTATTATGTTGAGTGGCGCTGATCAAGTGACAGCATAAACTGTAACTCCAAAAGGAGTGATGCTGGCATAGAAACCTTTGTGTGGTCCACCACTTCAAAACACTAGCTTGTAGTGAGTTTTTCACCCAGAAGCATATACATGGAAACATGACTGTCTGAATGAGACTTTAGATAATAACACATTCGGTTTTCTAAGTCAAATGAGTCACATGATGGATGATCCCCACCAAGATACCAAAATGAATGGCAGGAAAAGAAACAGTCCACATTTTTTTCAAAACAAAGGTAAGACAATTCCATGTGAATGGAGCATGCTCATTGTCCCCATCCAGAAGGCACAAAATGTTGAAAGCAATAGCAAAAAAGAGGGGAGTGGGCAGATCACACTTCAAGGATATCAAAGTAAACAAATTGGTCTTCAAACACTATAATCTTTTACAAGGCACTAATATACTGGAAACTAAGAGTCCAAAGGAGTATTAATTATGGAAAAGCAATCCCTCTGATCCTAATTAATAATCTATCCTAAGGACTCTTACAAATAACCAGGAAGGGGGAAACACCCAAACTAACCATCCTGGGTCCCAAATTTGCCCAGAGCACAAGCTATATTATACCATAAGCTGCACAATCAGCAAGCTACCCATCCTGCTCTGAACAGGAATGCCACAGCATTAGCAGAACTGCAAAGTAAAGTTGCTAGATCCCGACAGCACACACGATGGGGCTCAACTATTCAAAATATGCTGCTACATTCTATCACAGCTACACCATGATTTTTTAAACTGTAGATTCTGAACTATGATCCAGCCCATGCACAAGCAGAGATCTTTGTTTCAGGCAACGGATCCTTGCTGGCCTCTGCATTGTACCTGTTTTCTCTCAAATTCTGTGTCCAATGTTCCAAGCAATGTTTCATTTCTATTACTGAATAAGTAGCACTTTTTCAGAGGGATGAATGGTTGAGTTTTTGTAGAGAAGAAATTCATTGAACATAGTTGATTATTTACATATTTGGTGGCATTTCAGTTCTGTTGTATCATTACTCCTCACCAGAATCGCTTTCATGAGCACCAGCACTTGAAGTGGGCCAAAAAAAACAAAACCCCACTTTCATCCATAGTTTCTCCAGCACAGTGAATATCTCAAATTCCATGAAACTCTTGAAGTTACGTGAGACAATGCGTCATTTTGCAAATCTGTTCTATGGATCCTCTAGTGAAGGCTTGAGCATCTTCTTTTTGGCAGCAGCTGCATATTCTTTACAAATACTGACCAATTATATAACTTACAAAACTTTAAAAGGAACAATTAAATTTCTCAGCCAGGAAGCGACAAGAAAATGTATTGCACATGTTAACAAATTGGCTATCTCAAATTTAGAGGCATTAGCTGGCATAACCTAGCAGTTTCACTAGCAAGAGATCATTCAGCTATGCATTTTTTTCTCCTAATCTACATCATACTACAGCAAAGAAGCCAACCTACCTGGTTGCATGCACTCTCGCTTATGACGTTCATTCCAAGCCTTTGCTTTGCAGGACTTGCTGCAGGTGTAGGTTTCAAAACATCGTGTGCATGGTGAGAGGTTCACACCAACTGATCGCCCACACTGATAACAATATTTGAAGAAGGGCAACCTAAAGGAAGGAAGGAAGGAAGGAAACATGTGATAAACAACACCAGTAACATATATGCAAGTTAACTTCTTAGAACAGATATAGCAAAGAAGGGAGAAGTCAAACTTGTTCATATAGGGAAGAAAATTTTGGTTACATACACAGTGATCAGTACTTGTGGAATGTTAGATTTTACAGCATGATGTATTTTGTTCTAAGTAATTTACTCTTCTTATCTCAAAAATTACTCTCAACACTTTCCTCTTCCAGATAAGTTTCCACATGCCCAAGTTTAATACAACATCCTGTGAGGTTTCTAAAATCAAGATAATGTCAATAGAAAACTGTTGCAACACCCTTCTACTCGTTTTCTGAATATTAATTTCAACTGATAATTTTCACACCACACTCAAGAGCAAATTTGGAGATAATGGCTGGAATCCTCTGGTATTTGCATAAGGCTTACTTAACTTGCTAACTGAAGCTAAATGAAAAGGTAGCAGAGGGCATCTTGGTTGTGCAATCAGTGCAAGTCAAGACATGAAAACAAGACACACATAAGCACAACAATGAGCCAAGGAATGATGCTCACACCTTATGTGAACACCAACAAAATTCTGGTGACTGAATTACAAATTATTCGTTAAGTAGCTGTTCCTTTAATCAATGAGAGCATAACAAGGACATTTCAAGTGTTGCAGACTTGAAGCTCCTTTACCGATGTATTCACTTTTAGATATTGTTTTAAGGATTTTTCAAGATATATCCCATTCTCTTATCAATCTTTTCAAAATACTGACAAGCAGCGGAACAACTAACACAATGGAAAATGAAGATCTTTATTTTGACTCTTAAGGCAAAAAGAAAAAGGAAAGAAACAACAAAGCAAAATTATTATTTAAGATCAATACATTTATTTCAGTGTGAGCTTTTGTGCATTACAATCCACTTCTTTAGAAACATCCCTCCATACAATGAATTGTAATCCCCAAAAACTCTCACCGAAATACAGTAAATGTGTTCATCTTAAAGGTGCCACAAAACATTCATTTTTGTTCCTTTTCTTTTTGTAGTCCTGCTTTGTTCATTTCTGTTTTTGTTGTCACTGAGCAGACTAACATAGCTACTTCTCTGAATATTGAAAGAAAATTTTGGTTTTATTTTGGATTCAGCAATCTTACCTTGATGTATCTGTTTCAGGTAATACCACTCCAGACCCAGCTGTAGATTGCCTTCTTGTGGATGCTTGGTAATAAATACATAAATATATACTGTAAATTAAATATTTTTCATTTAAAACAAAGATATGTATATCTGAGGTTAATATCACCTGATTAAGTGTAGTTTTTGTACTCTTTGGTCAAATGTTTTATTGCTTCTCTCACAACTCAGGAGATAATACCTAAATCCTATAAGAGAGACAACAGAACTTAACCAGCCAAATTTTTGAAATCTCAGGCTGGAACTGGACATTTGATACAACCAGCAGCCTCACATCTCCCTATCAGCCCTATAATACCTAGTAAATAAAAACAGGTGGCATTATTTAATGGTTAGTTTCTTACGTTTACATTCCTCCTATCTCCCAAAGTACTGAAAGGAGCATACACAGATCTCTTCCTTCCCTCACAACAACTGTGTGAGGTGGGTAACATTATAACAGTGTCATACAGTGAACCTCATGGCACAGATTCCCCCCATTTGTATCCTTTGTCTCACTGTTTCCCGGCATGGTTTTACCAGCAGACCATTACTGCAGCCTGCCTCAGCTGAGTGAGCCAAATCAATGAAAAGTTGGCTTGGACAGTGGACAGAATATCTCAGCATGGACCTGAGAATGGATGTTCCCTTTCAGATCCACTAAAAGGATGCAAAAGCATCTTACCCACAGATGTCTCAGCAATTCCCCCTGAATCTTCCAAACCTACCTTTCCCACGTGGCTCACATGAATTCCAGCGGTACCATACGTTCCCCTAAATCTTCCAAACCTACCGTACCTTTCCCACATGGCTCACATGAATTCCAGCGGTACCATACCTATTGTGTTACAATTTTGTATACTGGTTGGAGTATTAGGTCAGATAAGGCTTTAGGCCAATTTGGGGGGAAATGACCAGGACCACACCAAACTCAATATATTTTTCTAGGGGGAAATTTGGGGAAAATGAGGTGTGTGCATCTCTAGACATCATCCAGGACCACACCAAACTCAATATATTTTTATTGCTTCACTCCCATGTAGTAGGAGAACCGCATAGTAAGTCATGCCCATGTGGTTTCTCATATTCTGTCACACCATGTTTTTCTTCACACTGGCATGCTGACAGACAGGTGCCATTGGTTGGCAGGTAGTTCATCTGATGTATGCCCTAAGCTGCAGTAACATAACTTCTCCTGGAGCCAATAGAATTGTGGCTGAATTCTCTCTTCAGCTATGTGTGTTTTCATGCACGTGGACATGCATTTCCAACTTCACCTTTAGGTTTTGTGCCACTTTATGACTAGGTATGCAATATGTTTATACTCTGAAGGCTTAATTTGGGCTCACCATATTTGAGTCTTCGAAGTTCCTCCTTATCCCACTGTTTTTCTTTTAAGATGACAGTCTCACGAAGTCGTTCACTAAGGAATTCCAACAACTTCCGGCGAGCACTGAAGAGATCCCGCTCTGATGGTGAAAGAGCATGGTATGGTGTACGCATCATTCTTTTGTCCTGCAATATACAAACATCATATGAGGCCACCTTCCTACCAGCTCAAAGAGCAGCTTCAAGAAACTTATTTGTGTTAGAACAGCAGTATGGGAGGAAGGGATTACATTCCCCTTTCACACTTTCTTTCACATCCTAGCATTTATTCAGCATACTTTTTCCTAGCACAGTGGGCAATATTTGCTTAAAATGTAGATTAAATTAAAAGGTGAATTTAATGTCATGCTTCCTTTAGTTCTTAAAGCTGCTCTCAACCATCTTTAGTCTTTGATCTTCTAAAGTAATTGTTCCCAACAATATTTCTTAACGTGAAGGGAATCTTAATATGTGGGGCAGATTAATTTCCTCCACAGAAACAATCTCCAGTTTAAACCTCTGTAAACCTTTGCTGAAGTAAAAGGTCAGCGGAAAGCTGTGCTTGAATTCTAAGAAAAATGGACTGAAAAGCTAGAGCAAAGACAAAAATCTGTAACATTTAATATGAAAACTTTTGTCAATTATTGACCAAGATTTTGAAGTTCTAGGCATTGAAGAAAATACCTGATAGTATTTGAAATATGCATAGTCCACTACTGTTCCCACAGCACTTCTTGTCTCATCCCCAATAGTAATTGGCATTAACATGTCTGCACCTCCTGCTATTAGAGTATTAATCTGGGGAGACAGAAGAAGAAAATGAAGACATGCAGAACAGCAAGAGTCTCATATAACTACTGCCATGAAACCTACACCCAGTTAAGACTCAGAATCTCAGTACTGTGGATGAGTTAAAGGCTAACACTGAAGTTCTTCTTTACAAATTGGTGATACACAACGGCTGGATCAACTAAATGAAAGATCACTTAGTGTTTCAGGACAAGGGAATATGATACAATCATTTTGAAGCCATTTAGAATATATTGATATTGACATATAAACCGTCTAAAGGGCTGCAAATAGAAGGCTAATGCAAAGGGCTGCATTAACTACACAAAACATTATTTTACTATTGCAGCTTCAGCACTTTAATTCTAACCCATCACCCCATTTTTCTTCTCCTGACTCAAGAGCAGATACTCTCTCTCAGCATATGCTGTTTTCTTTTAGCAGCACTTGTTTGCCATCTCCAATTACAACATAATTCTATTTGACGATATGGACAAGGGCCAACTGAGCTTATTCTAGGCTAGCTGAAACAGTGTTAAATCCAAGCCTCTTCCAACCAAAGAATGCTAGAAATTACTTAGGACTACACACATTCCAGTCTAAGTTTGTACCAGCATTATGGCTGTGCCCCTGGGCCAGAGAAGGCTTGTAATTAGTGTAACTTGGCTCCTCCATCCCATTTTTTATGTTCTCCCACCAGCAGACCACACTGCAGTTCCTCTAGCAGATCACATGCAACAGATCCCAGATCTGTCATCAGAAGGGGATTTCTGCCAGCAAAAGAGGCTTTTGCATAATCCTAGCTCTCTTCAACTAGTGCATCTTTTGAGTCAGTTGTTCTGTTTCTTCTTCTATTTCTAGATCTTTCTTCAACCCCTTTTCTCAGTTATCCCTTCTTCCCCCACCTGTCATATCCTGCAACAGTAGTTCCCAACCTGGTGTTCTTGGACTGCAACTCCCAGAAGCCTTCACCATTAGCTATGCTGGCCAGGATTTCTAGTAGTTGCAGTCCAAGAACAACCGGGTTACCCAAGGTTGGGAACCATTGCCCTACAGCATTTCCATCTATTTACACCACAACAGGTATCTTTGTATATCTACATGTCATATCATCTTTTGGTTTGCTCCCACAAAAGTCTCTCTGTTTGGGAAAACTGGTAACAGAATGTTTCAAACTTTTCTTACCAAAGCCATCTTATCTGCCAATGTCCGACTGTGTTCATATGCAGGATTTGTAACAGAACACAGGGCACTTCCAACACCTCGGCTTAATGGGAGATTTGGGTCAGCTCCACTGCCTAGAAGCTCAGCTACTGCCTATGTACAACAGAAAGATTGGGAAGTCTCAGAGGCCATCTCCTCATTGTTAACATTTTTACAACACATTATGATCCTGAAGAGCTGTCTGGATAGCTCAGTGAGTTGGGCACCCAGCTGCAGAAGTCAGAAGTCTGGTTCCCCATTGTGCCTCCTGCAAGTAGAGCCAGCCTGTGTGGCCTTGGGCAAGCTGCACAGTCCCAGCACACCCTCTGAGGAAGGGAACAGTAAATCACTTCTGAGTGCTCTCTATCTGGAAAGTCCTAGAAAGGATTCCCATAAGTCAGAGACAACTTGACAACTTGCTAGTAACTAAGCCTTAGGAAGGGCCCCCCAAACTCATAAATGAGAATAAGCCTACATAAAAGTGGATAAACCAATCAGTTATGAAGTCATGGGATGCCGAAGGTGTGGTCACCCAGGAAATCCCATGAGGACAGATTAGGACTCCTGGAGGTCAGATTCTGCCCGAGGACCTGAGGTTCCCTCCCACAGTATCTGTCATGGCAGAAGGAAGATTTAACCATTGCTTCTGCTATTACCCTGACTGGAAGGGGGGCTGATAGTGTCTGGGAAAAATAAAATGGCAAAGGTTGAACTACATTCCCTTGTGACTTTAATGCTGCTTCTGCCATCCTGTCTTGACCTTTTCAGGAATCACGCTGGCTTTTTAAAAAAATTCATTACCAACCCAGCACTAAATGACAATCTGGCTTTAAAATTACCACTAGTATAAGAGCCAAACCCTAACTGCAAAAAAAGGAAATACAACAGCATTTGCTAAAAATACAAGCAGCAGAATGAGCCCTACTATTTTCTTTTTAAAAAACAGCCATATGTGAATAATATAATGTAGTCTTTGGCTCTAAATTACTGCCCTGTGCTATTTTCTCCTGCAGTCTCTTTCTCCCATTATTTGTTCAACAACAACATTGAAGTCTCCATTAATATGCTTGCAATATTGTTTAATAAGATGGAACAGAAATAAAGAAAATTTGTTTATGAGCTGTACTATATCGTCTGGGACTAGTAGCCAAGAATCCAATAAGACTACCATTAAAGATTACTGAAAGTGCATAATGATATGTACATTATTCTCTGTGCTTCAGAGAATTGTAATTGTCCAGTCTTCTGATATATATGCATGATGTAGTTACAATTTGTTGCTGTACAAACATACTCAAAATCTCTGAGTTCTAGTAATCAAGATCACATTTAAAAAGACTTTTTCCCATATTTTTCAAATGATAAATATTATCGAATGGGGAAAAAAATAAAGCATACCTGATCATTTCCACTAGCAACAGCCAATGAAAGAGGGGAATGGCCACTCCACAGGAGATTTGGATTTGCACTGTGTTCTAAAAGAAGGTGAACAACTTCAGCTGCATTCTGAAAGGTAAATTAAATAAAATCAGACCATTGAAAAGAATGGTATTTTTTCTAACTTAAAGGAGAAATAATGTGATCAAGTGTTAACTTCAAATAAATTAATATATTAAAATAAAATATGCTAATACCAACTTATGCTTCCATTTCTTAATCTGAAGGTAAGCACTAATGCTGAGTTAGACATTTGTCCAAGCGCAGACTAAGAAAATGCTTCAGAATAACTTGATAGATACAGTAGTAAGGATTCAAAGCTGCAACCCAGAAAATGTAGAATTAAGTAACATAGATGCATTCATAAACTAATTAGACATGCGGATCCATACATATACAAAAAAAAAAAACCCAGCCAGCTGTTGAACTTGATTTGACATTTTAGTGAAGGGAACACTTTTAAACAGTAGAGCCAAAGTACATGCACACTGCTGGATCAGATAAAAAGTAACAGTAAATGCTGTAATCCAGTTCGTTTAACTACAGAGGTCATATCTTTGCACTCTTACATAATTATCTGCAAAGCCTTCAGTTTTTAACTTCTGCCCCTTACAAAAATATTCTTGAAATATTTGCAAATTGCAATTATGTGTAACAGGGATGGAAAAATATTAGGAAATGATTCATATATTAAGTGAATTACTAATTTTGAAAAATATATAATTTGAATATATTTACATGGAGAGGCGTTTTAAAATTACAGTAAGCTAATTTTCAACTGGTGTTTAAATTTGCATTACATTATTACACTAGAAGCCGTACCAGAATGAAGGTGAAAAATCTCATTAATGATTTTACTCACTTTAGACTTCATAACTTTATTTCCAAATTAAACCCAGGGGCATTTGTTACTTAACTTGAATTTGGGTGGATGCTTATTTTTTACTATTTGCTTGATATGAATAGTAATTTCTCTCCGCCACCATTGCTCACTCTTCATCAAAATGAGTTATTAGCCCTGGATGACACCACTATCTTAAATTCCAGAGAAGCAGCTGCAGTCTCAAAACACTTCTTAACCAGGGTTCCTGCAGGTTAAACCTTTCCGGCCCACAGGCAAAGAAAGGCCATTGTTCTCCTACCGAAGAAAGCAGGACGCACAGAAGGGTGAGTGGGATGGAAGAGCTAGGACTCATAATGTGGGGTCAAGATTTCACCATGCAAATTGAACACAGGGCCTTTCCATCTTTACCTCTTCACCATACTTCTAAGTGACTCTCCCTATCCACAAAGAAGGGGACACATCAAAAGAAAAAGGAGGGTCATCATGCTGGCAGATGAGAAGTAAGTGATTGGCAACTGCAAGATGTACCATGAAAGGAGTGGAGATATCTATGCCCTCTGGAGAAGAAGAAAGCCTCTTGCACAAAAGGCCTTGGGAAATGGGAAAGCAAGGACTCAATACTATGTTGACTGTCTACTGTGATGCTGAAAGCACAGCAGCATCCCACCAGCAACTTCCTTAGGACACAAGAGTGGTGGGAGATGCTATACTAGTAAACTCAATGTCCTTCTTTCCTGGTGCCTTATCTGGAATCAGGCTCTCTCCTTCCTAAGCAGTCCTGCCTCCTGCCACTCTCCTCAGAAAGAAAGTGATGGAAGAATCTGAGTTCTGCCTATTCTGGGTAATCAATGAAGAGCCCTGCCCTAATTTTGTACCTTGCAGTTTCTATGGCTATATATTCTTCCCAATCTGTCTGTGCCACTGTCTCCTTTCTGTCCCATCTCCGCTGTTAAATGCAGATTGAAGGCCCCACAAAGCCTTTTTCCCACAAAAAAACCTACAATGAAGAATTCCCACCACGTGGCTATCTTAGCTGTAGGAAAACCAGCTAACACAGCCATGTGATGGAAATTCTTCATTGACTGGATAGAGACCATTCTATTTCATTATCCCCACCCCGCATGCCTTCCCCAGTCACATAACTCCATTTCTTACTCTGCAGCTTTCTCTTAATACCAGCTACTTTTGAGGCCCGTGGTCAGGCAGAAATTGTAAGTCCAAAAGAGAATGAATGAATGATACTACCACATAACTTGTGTGCTGCTTTCTGTAAGGTTTATTTTAATGAACTAACAAAGAGCATCTTGATCATTAACTTTTGGTCGTTATAGAGTGGCAAAAAAGGCGAAGCAAGGCAAAACAAAGGTCTTATCTGTTTAGTTTTCCCACATAAACCCTGAAAACCAACCTGATCAAACACAACCTGTTCAGTGCCATTAGATATTAATGTAGCTATTCAAATGTAGCAAACACTGTTAGGATAATGGAGACAACAATTAGCTAGAACTACAAAATCAGTTCCACATACTTAAAAGGGTCTCAGTTGTATACTCCTTAAACAATTGTGACATGTGGCACTTAGGAGTGCACGTTTACAACAAAATGAACCTTTTAAAAAACTGTTGATGATACTGCAGGGTGGGATTTTCTTCAAAGAAGAGATACCTACAGTGGCCCTCTGAGTGCTGGCAAATACTGAAACTCATCAGCTTAATTTTTTTTTTCAGAAGATGAAAAGAGTGGCCTAAATAAAATGTCAGGCCCAATGAATCAACAGGATTCACAGAAATGCTGACATATTTATCAGACAATTTAATATGTTTAGCTGGGCATAGCAGCTAAATTCAGGCCAGTGTTTTAACCTTTAGCTACTATAATATATATATTTTTTAAAAAAGTTGGGCTATACTGTACTCTGTTAATGAGATAGCATTTAGAAATGTACTAAAAATGTTACCAGGAAAAAAGACAGGAGGAGGGGGGAAAGGAAATAGGAGATGCATTCAAGTACAAAAATCAGACAACTTTCAAAATTCTGCACTGAATTTCAACTTAAAATAAACTCTGCATCACTTATTTAACTCTTTTGAGTGATGGAATAGACAGTATAAATCCAGTAAAGGGTACACTTTCTATTGTGACTTGAAAATTTACCAGCTGCAAGTCAATGCTAGAAAAAAATAGGCTACAGCTGCAATTCTCTATCTACATAGCTGGAAGTAATCCCTACTCAGCTCACTGCAACACATTTCTATAGGTAAGTTCGGAAACTGCAATATAAATAACTGTAAACAAAATGCTACCACAATCACCAATAGTTAATTATGCATAAGAAGATAAGAGAGGTAAAGTTAATTTATTGATTTTTTAAAAATTTATGTAAAGGATCACAGCAACACAAAACTGCAGAGTAAGAACTCTATGTCAATGGAGCAATCAGCTCTTGAAATGAGACTCTATATTGGATACTGTACAACCCATTATGGCCCGTTAAATGGGCCTTTCCCCTTTTACACAAGACTCAATCATCAAATGTAATTAACAAGTAAAGAAACCTTAATTGTTCAATTAAATTTTTCTAGATAATTTCCAGATGGTGCTCAGCTTTATTTAATGTGTCCCTCTTTTTTTAATCAATGCAACGACCATATAGTTATCATTCCCTATACCAGTTTTCTTGTCTTTTTCTATTCCTCCATCCCTAGAACTAGCCTTAAACTACAAGCCTATGCCCTCTCATCTGAAGTCTCAAATTACTAAGGCTTCCACCCTGAATCTATGCGCATTTACTGTCTGTTAATTTAAGCACTATAAAGATGTCCCATCTTATTTCTTTTGAATCATCAGTATATCTGAGCTCCACAAAACTGAAAACACACACCACAGACAAAAGAGGGGTAATGAGAGGCCTGGAGAAGTTCCAGTCTTTTTTATTCAAGTCTTTAAAAGGAGACCAGAAAAACTGTTTTTTTCTTCTTGTATAAGTGCTACCAGAACCAAGAGACCCTTCATCTCTAAGGAAATATATTATCTTCCAATTCTGCATGAAAATGCCACGAAAGTAGTGCAAAAGGTTCTTTTTGTTTTAGCTGGCTGACTTTCTTTTAATTAGCATTTTTTCTGTATTACCTGTAAAACTGTCCATCCATTCCCAAACAACCGTAGCATAGATGCCCCTTTGCTATTAATGTTGAACTTTTGCTTACCATATAAATGAGGATTTCACCTCTTACAAAAAGAATTTTGCCTTTCAATCTACTGAAATACTAAAGGCCTCTAGTGGTCAATGTTTGATACTAGTGGGTCGGTTTACTACAGAACTTGCTCTACTTGAATTCAGTGCCACAAACACAATACTCTGCCATTACACAAGGAATGGGAGAAGCATCTTTGCTCACTTGGACACACACACAAACACACACACAAAGAGAGAGAGTGAGTAGATATTTTTATGTGTAGAGTGAGTGACAGCAACTCTAACATTCACAGTACTCAGGAGGAAGCCTAGCTAGCACCAAACAGAAGAGAGCTAGTACTTCTTAGGATTTGGAGACTATACTGTTAATGCAGCATAAAATAACGTTTGCCTTTTTTGCAGCCATTCCACACTGTTGGCTTATATTCATCTTGCGGTCTACAATTCCAAGATCTTTCTCATATGTACGATTACTGACCCAACTATCTCCTATCTTGTAATGGTGTGTTAGTTTCCCCACTCCACCCCCAGTATAGAAGTTTGCACTTATTCCTGTTATTTTATTCTGTTGGTTTCAGTGCAGTGCTCAAGTCTATCAAGATATTTTTGAATTTTGTTTGTCTTCTAAAGTATTGACTATTCTACCCAATTTTGTGCCATGCATAGATTTGATAAGGATTATTTCACTCCCTCATTCAAGTCATTAATAAAACTGTTGGGGGAAAAACTGGGACTAGGACTAAGCCAACTTTTTACCTCCTCCCAGTCTGAGAAGAAGGCATTCCCAAATGATGGGAGATAAAAACAAATTATTTTACTATGCTGAGGGCAGAAGCCTCTTCCTAAATTCCTCAAGCTACTAGGTAAAGGTAAAGGTTCCCCTTGACAATTTTTGTCCAGTCGTGTTCGTCTCTAGGGGGCGGTCCTCATCCCCGTTTCCAAGCCATAGAGCCAGCGTTTTGTCCGAAGCCAATCTTCCGTGGTCACATGGCCAGTGCGACTTAGACATGGAACACTGTTACCTTCCCACCGAGGTGGTCCCTATTTATCTACTCGCATTTGCATGCTTTCGAACCGCTAGGTTAGCGGGAGCTGGGACAAGTGACAGGCACTCACTCCGTCACGTGGATTCAATCTTACAACTGCTGGTCTTCGGACTCTGCAGCCCAGGCTTCTGCGGTTTAGCCCACAGCGCCACCACGTCCCTGCATCAAGCTACTAGACCTCAGGCTTAATTACCACATCTTCTGTGTTGGCAAGACTGGAAAACATGCAACTCACACTTCTAAAACATCCATTCCTTGCCAAGGTAAAAAGTAACCAAGAAAGATGTTAAAACCTAGTAAAAGAAAAGAGTTCTGTTTATAGAAAGGAGTTGACAGCACAATTCACCTTGAAATCATCTGTCCTTTCACAAGCAATATGAAGAGGAGTCCTACCACCTTCCTCTGGGATTGTGTTGCATTCTCTGTAGTAGAACTTTGATGGACCAGTTTCATTAAACATTTTCATCATAGATGGTGCTTCAGTAAGCTCATTCTACAGGGATAAATGGTAAAGGTCAGATACAGTGTTACACAGTATATCCTCAGGGCACAAGTATGAACTCATACATGTTTTGAGATGCACTTATAAGTGATATTTGAACCCCAGCAGTCACGCTTCTTAACAGAGATTAAGCTCACTAAATCACAGTTACAGCACTGCTCAACAGGGGAATTATACTGGACACACAAGAATTAATATACAATGAGTTAACACATACAATGACTGCATTAAGAAGTACAAAGATTGCAGTAAAGTTGCATAAGGTCAGACAAGAGGCAAATAAAATACATTTGCCTCAGAAATATTTGAGGGAAATGTTAACTCAAAGGAAGAGAGCTCTCAAGGTTGAAGGTAAAGGTAAAGGTTCCCCTTGACAATTTTTGTCCAGTCGTGTTCGACTCTAGGGGCGGTGCTCATCCCCGTTTCCAAACCATAGAGCCAGCGTTTTGTCCGAAGACAATCTCCCATGGCCAGTGTGACTTAGACATGGAACGCTGTTACCTTCCCACCGAGGTGGTCCCTATTGATCTACTTGCATTTGCATGCTTTCGAACCGCTAGGTTGGCGGGAGCTGGGACAAGCGATGGGAGCTCACTCCGTTGCGTGGATTCGATCTTACGACTGCTTGGTCTTCTGACCCTGCAGCACAGGCTTCTGCAGTTTAGCCCGCAGCGCCACCACATCCCTCAAGGTTGAGAAGTTTCTAAAATCCAGACTGCAAACTAGCAAAAGTTTTCGAATAAGCCATTTGGGGTGCAGAGGTTGCTTTAAGGAAGATAATATGGGGAAGGTAATATTTTCCTAATCCACACATACATATGTCAAACAAAGGGAAATGAATGGAGGGGGAGCCACCAATATATGGAGAAAACACACCTGAAGATAAATTTAAGAGTGAGGGAATTTATCTCTCCTTAGTCTCATTAAAGCTGGGAATCATTGTAATTCTAGTTGGAGCCATGTCAAGGAAAGGGAAGTCTTGGGCTAAGAGAACAGAGTAACAAAATTCCTAGCTGGAACTAGAAATATAGGAGAAGAAAATAAATTAATTGGATGCTGTGGCTAAAACCTGGATTCTGGGAGTTGAGACAGTGTTTCCAGCTCAGGAAGACTTAAAAAAAAAAGCCTGGCCATGATGCAGCAAGAGGCCCTTGGGAACTGGAGGCATCAGGCAGAGATGGAGGCAGGGGTGAGTCAGAGTCTAGTCAATTCAGGGAGAGACAGAGATGAGAAAAAGGAGTTTGGGGGTTTGAGGCAGATAGAGTGTTTATGGAGTGATTAGTCAGAGTGTGACCTGTATTAATTAAGATAGAAGAGGTTAAAGTAAAATACAGAAGCTTTGTGTAACTTTTAAGAATGTGCTTAAGAATTATTCCTGAAACAACTTGTAATCAATAAAACCTGTTTCTGTTTAAAAATTCAGTACAGTACTGAATGGACCTCAGTCTTTCACAGGAAATATAGGTTGATAAAGAGATCAACTGGAGGCAATGTGTTAAAGGGCATGTTGAGATACCTTTGTGAGCTCTGTGTTTAGTGAAACAAGCTAGGGCCACAGGGTAAATATCACAGATGCTGTGGCTAAAACTGGATTCTGGGAGTTGAGACATTGATTCCAGCTCAGGAAGACCTTTTTTTTAAAAAAAGCCTGGTCATGATGCAGCAAGAGGCCCTCGAGAACTGGAGGCATCAGACAGAGATGGAGGCAGCAAGCAGGCCCAAAACAGAAGGAAAAAACACAGCAATTCTATGCTTTTTTAAAAAAGATTTTTGAGATGGTTCTAATTGAACCTTTAACTAAAACCTTCAAGTTATATCCTCCTCCTCTTTCTCAACCTGTTCTGGCCTATTTAAACTGGGTGCAAGCGGCTAATTTATTTTTAGAGCCCTACTTTTAGAATGGCTTATGCAAATCCTCATAACAGAGGTAAATTTTTCTACACTCGTCTTCCTCCACCTCTTAAATCTCCATCTGGAGGCTTCTTTCTAAAACTGAAAATCAACAGAAGTCACTTCCATGAGGGATAAAAACTCATGTCCAAAAGGAAATCGGTGGGGACAGCAAAAACATAGCAAAAGTTTTCCCCATGCAATTGTAGGTAGCTTTGGGGACACAGGAAGTGAGGCACTAGACTTCCATACTAGCCAGAGGGTCCACATGTGGTCTGTGGGCTGCAGTCAGGTGACTCCCATCTTCAATAAACAATAAGATCCTTTCTTCTGTTGTGTTCATTTCTAGAAGCATCATGTCAGGATAAGGAATATAATTGTTGTGTCACAGTGCAATTATTTTCCACACCATTTTGCTATTTTAAAAAGTTGATTCTAGCTCCATTCCTCTCCTCTGCACATGACAGTACTGGAATTGGAATCTGTTACATACACATACCTTGAGAACCCTGTCCGGCCTGTATACATCATTTTCATCTTCTGCCTTTACATCAGGGTTTGTAGCAGAATGAAGAAGTAGTTCTGTAATTTCAATTCCCTCTTCGACAGGAAGGGCAGCAGCAATATGAAGAGGAGCTACTCCTCCTAGCTGAAAAACGAATGTTGCATTAGCCTCCAATATCAAAATCACTTGTCACACAAAGATTTAACAAGTGAGTGTTTCTGGCATATTGTACTATGGCATTGAGACATTCTAGCTTTTAATGGAATATATATGTACTATTTAAGCTAAGGATTAAAATTAAATATATCTAAAGCCCTCTTCAGGCACATAGCCTTTGGGTTTGGATACAGGCTCAGAAGGGAGCAGATAGCCCCGCTCCAGCTATCAACATTTTTCTCATGTCAGCAGCACTAAAGAGAAGAAGGGGCTTGCTTGTGCATAGGCTCTAAACATAAGCAAGAACTCAGGGTATTAGGAGAATAGTTGTGTTTTTGAAACACATATTTGCCAGGAAAATACTTCATACATCAGTTCAATCATGTCATTTCGGTAGCCCCCTCAACCTCGAGTCTAGAAGTCTAGTATTTTACTAGAACAGGACTGCACAACTAGTAGCCCCCTCAACCTCGAGTATTTTACTAGAACAGGACTGCACAACTTGTAGCTCAGCAAGTGAGACAAAAACCAAAAAAGTATTCAAAGATAATCAGGTGTATGTTTTTTTTCCTGCCTCAAACTGCAGGAAATAGCATTTTGCTAAGTATCTGGCAGGCCACTATACATGGCTATATAACAAACAAAAATAAAAACAAAAACTAAATTATTGTGATACCTTAATTGCTGACATATGTATTTCAGTGTGAATTTTCTGAGCTACAATCCATCTCCTTACAGAGGGACTGAAACACTAAACTACAGGTCTAGATACTGTATAACATACATTGTGGAGAAAGGGACCTAGTAAAGATGGATACAAATGAAGAAAATGAAATTTCCAAGTGACAATAGCATTTTTAAGATAAGAAATTATTTCTGATGGTGCTGAATACATAAATATCCTGGCCATTACTAAAATGACTGCCCATCTATCATGTAAGTATAAGCTGGTCTTTGAAGTGCAACGATTTAAATTCAGGATATGATAGTTTTCTTGTGAATCAGTGTCTGGCTCTTAGGCCAGGGTAAATAACTTTGTTCATACACATGGCTACAAAGAAAACTGCTTATACATGTTATGAGCCTGGACCTCCCCTGGGGAACAGATGGTTCTTCTTCCATCCTAGTCCTCATACAAGACAATCACCAAATTGTAATAAAACAGGATTTATTAAATCAAACGTAGTCTCTGAAGAGTGGTTGATTCTCTCCATCAGCTCCTTAGTTATACAAGTTTGAACAATCATCAATCTCAGGTTGCCTTGCCTTCCACTGGCTCCTTGTAGGGAAGGACACTATGGCCACAGTGCTGACAAAACCAATGGATAGGTTTTGCATGGCAGCCCAGACTGATCTTGATTCTCAGGTTTCGATTCCACCACCTCCTCTTGTTGCCAAAGCTTGCAGATCCCTTTCCTGTGCCAGCCTCCATTCTGTGATTGTTTCATCTTCCCCATATTTCTTGCCTCTCTGTCTTTCTCCCCAGTAAGAGGGTTTATAGGGGACTCTGAGATACTTCCATTTCTCCCCTTCTCCCTTCGAGACTCTCAATTGTACCAGTACTCCACTCCAGGAACTATTCTTATGAATATAATTTCATTTCTTGGGGGTGGGGGGTAAGGATCAGTTTATGTCCCACTATCTCAGACCTGTGATATCTCTTTCCTCCAGGTGGTCTTTTATTTACCATCCCTACTTCCAGTTCCCTCTAAGGCTAGGTATGTCATAGAGGCCCTGGGTCATAGTTCCGACAGCCTGCTGACAGGGGCATCTGTGTCCCTGTCCTCCTCAAATATGTGTATGCATATATGTGTCTGTGCACTTACAAATACACATACTCCTTATTGTAATGCATACAAACAGTAGATGTTTCCACCATTACAGACTCCAAAAATATCATCTACAACATAAATGACTCATTTACCTATTCATCTGCTAATATGATCTACGCCATCCTTTGCCATCAGTGCCCTTCTGTATTCAATATATATCAGGACAATCATTATGCAAGAAAATAAACAGACACAAATCTAACATTTGTGATGACACAGAAAAGCCAGCTTTAGAACACTTCAGTCTCCAAAGACACTGATCCTGATCTGAAAGTAATAGTTGGAAAAGAAATCAGTTACAAAGGAAAACTGGAAGGAAAAGAAAAAGACTTGCACAAGGTAGTAGCATTCACACCATAGGATTCCCATGCTCAGTCCAATAAATAAAAAAAAATCACAAGTTTTTTTAAAAAAGAAACTTATCTCAAATGAACAAAATGTCCTTACTCTGGTTGGCAGTCGTATATCAGTCTTTGCTCCAGCTTCTAATAGTATTTTCACTACTTTTGCATCTGCAGCTTTAACAGCAAAGAAGAGCACATGCATAGGGATGCTACACATATTGGGATCAGCACCTCGCTTTAGAAGAAGTTTGATAGTAGCCAGTCTTTTCTTTTGTCTGGTAAAATCATAAGAAAAAAGGTCTTAATTGTTTGAAATGTTGAGACGGTCAATGTTTCTAATCCAGGTTCCAGACACAAGGCAGCCATTCAACCTGATTTCAAATTCCACATCAGATTTGTTATCACAACAGCACAAAAACTGCACAATTGTTCAAGATAACTCACCTGTTCAACATGCAACATGTTACAAAAATAAGGGATGGAAAAGAAAGGGGAAGGGCTTGATCTTAAAGACTTCATGCAAGGTTGCACTGAAATTTAATTTTTAATTTCCCTGACTTTCCCTGACCAACATTTGTCAATTTCCCTGACCACTATTCAAATATAAGCACAAGTTAAAAAATGAGTAGACCATGTTGCATTAATGCAAATCTTAATGGTTTTACTATCTGAACTTGTACTTGGCTTTGAACCTAAACATATTGCAATGGACTGTTGACTTGATTTCATTTTCAGGTTCTTCTGATGTAATGGTCCTTGTGCATGATACTCCACAGCTCTACATTTGATATTATTTAATTCAAAGATTTTGTAACACACTTTACAATAACCTTTGCATTTGCTTCCAGCAGCTGGTGATAGCCATAAAACCAAGTCAGGATGAAGTTTGAAATCCAGCCACTGCATATTAAAAACTGCCCTCTTAGAAGCCATCTTCGAAATGTGGTTTCAGACACAGCCATACCCAGAACCATCTGCCTGATACCAAGATGTTAGCAGATTTGTTTTCTGGCAAGTAGAAACTTTCCAAAGCTGGGAAAGTTTCACTTGCACTTTCTGGTTCCAGAAAGTATAATGAGAAGATCAGCAGCAAGAAAGAAGGTGGAGTTTTAATGCTTGCAGATTATTTCTATAATTTAGAGAAGCAGACAACCCTCATTTGCAACCTTTATGCATGGGAGAAGTCAGGGAAGAGGATGAGAGAGCTGGTACTCTGTAAACTCCAGCAGGAACAAGCAATCACATATGAAAAATTTACTTTACATGGTGCAGACTTTCCCTGACTTTTCAGAAAGTGGTAACCCTGTCATGTTCACTTGGTATAATGGCAGAAGAACCCTATGCAGACTCCAAATGAGGTTCATCTGGTGATGCAATGGGAAGAGCCTGTGTGACATAGTGGTTAGTGTTGGATTTTGACTCAGGAGACATGGATTCAAAATCTTTATTTGGCAATGAAACTCACAGGGTATCTTTGGGGCAGTCGCAGCCTCAGCCTGATCTGTATTAGAGAGATGCATATGCCATCTTGAACTCAGTGAGGGAAAAGCAGAATACATCAGTGTAACTAATAGATATTAATATTGATGCTAGCTTCACCCAGAGTAAATGACAAACTTGCTTGAAGTTAGATATGTTATCCACTTTAGACAGTAAATATTCCCAGAATACATGCATAGCTATTTCAGTTGCAAAGGTGCTATACTGAGACAATACACTGCTGTCAGTGTGAAAACTGAGGGGAACCATTCGGTCAAACTTCAATAGCTTTGAGAATTACAAAACAATTTTCTGGGTATGATACGAAACCTGATTTCACACTGAGGAGGGAAGTCCCTTGATGGCTTTCAAAACTTTAACCAAAACTGAACCTCAAAGATTCCATAAACAGCTGCAAAACTATTCCTTATCTCAGTAAGGAAGAAGAGATTCATTGTTCCACAAACCCTGAAAATTAGGAAGGAATAAACCCATTATCAATAGAATCTATACAGTGTCAATGGCAGCACATAAGAAAGCTGGGTACTTGGGTCCATCTTTATCAACAGGTACCACTGGACATTCCTACAGAATTGACACCATGTCTCCAGTGGTATATATTAGCAGCAAGATTCCTTTGTTTTTGTTTAGCAACTGCTTCCGGATGGTTTTAGAGCCCTCATAGTTTTAGGGTCCCTCAACTTTGTGGAATCACTTTGTGTAAGCTCATCATCCTAAAGAGAGCCCAAGTGAGACTGGCCTGACAGTAATATTGACATAGCCTTTCATTCAGACATTTGCTTTGGGGTCTTCTAGTGCCACTTACTCTGTTATTGATATTGCCATTCTCCTTATAGTGCCTTCATGCTGGACAATCTCCTCACTGTCAGGGAAGCAGGGTAGTTTTAACATGTGGTGGCTAAGAACAACTGCACCACGCTGCATGGCTTCTGCAGTAACCTTAATTTCGTAGTTGTATACACCACAAATTGTCCCAGAGCTCTTTTCTCCAATAGCATTCTCTGTCTCCTCTGACAACTTTGCCTCAGTATCTGTGCCACCCTCTGCCTTTTCAGCAGATGACAACGGTGCAGGTGATAGAGGGGTTGTTGGTGAGGAAATTTTGTTTTCTGCGCTTTCTGGAGAAGGCTGAGACACTTCCGACTGTGACAACTGTGGAGACACTGTAGATATTTCATCTCCAACTTCTCCTGCCTATATAAAGCAGAAAAATTTAAAAAAAATTTAAAAGACACAACTGTTTCAAAAATATATCACTCTGTGCTATTTTAATTTTAAAACATAATCATACCAACAATACTAAGCTGCCACGCTCAAAACAATGAAAAATTTCACCTGGGCTTACTTTCTTCCAATATTTCACACAAAATTGTTGTCAGATCTACTGCATCCTGCTAATTCAATTATTTCCTTTCTATTCTGCCATTCTTCTGTATGATTCAAGGCAGAGTTTCCCTATGGTTTCCCGATCCAGGTACCAACCAGATTGGTCTAGCTAGCTTAAGTTAATACTGCTCCATCACACTCTTTCAAACCATGCTTGATATAGATTTTTTAAAAAAAAATTGGCTACAGGTAAAAGTCTACCTGAGTGTCAAAATAATCACTCAAAAGTTTGAATATCTGAAATTTCAAAATGAAAGAAGTGGATAATCAGCATAGATAAGGAGCAAATAATTGGATCCATGGATAGGAAGCTCCAAAGTGTGCAGAAATTTAACAAGATCTTTGGTAACTTCTCAGCTATCAAAAGGAAAAACCATCAGGACATTTGTGTCCTAGATTTTTTTTAACAGGTGGAAGAACTTAAACATTTATTTAGAACTGGCAAAAACTTACCTAGGCAAAAACTGTCCTCCATTGATCCCCTTAAAAAGTAGGCATAGTAAAAACTCGTGCACATTCCAAACCTAGCTGATTTTGTAAGTTATTTATTGTATAGGAATCTGAAGTGCATCTGCTACTTATCCAGAAGAATGGGGTCAGAATCATGACAGCAATTATATGATGTTGCCCATGTATCACATAATTCTGGCTTTTTTAATGTAAACCCCCTCTGCAGTAATTTAAAATGTTGCCTTTCATCATAAAGCTGGGGCCACAAAAGCCTATATCTGCTTCTGCACTGACCCCCTCATTCTTTACTCAAGGCTTAGGCTTGGCTTCTTTTTGCCTTTTTTCCAGTGTTCTTTTCTTGTCTGAAAGTTCTTTTCTTGGCTGAAAGTGTCTGCCAATGTTCTCAGAGCATAGATAAACTTTTTCTATTTTTTACATTCTATATGGACAATACTGTCCTAGAAGATTAATGCTGGGGAAAATACTCTTTTCTCTTATCCTAATATTTATGAAACATTGTGATAATTTCTTTCCTCGATTTTATTTTTGTTTTGAAAAACTGTATAGTAAAAGTAATTACAAAGGGAGTATCAAATGAAGTAGAGAAGACACACTTGTTAAACTTACATATTTATGGGATTTTGAAACATTTTTCAATAACAGTTCTCAAAGTGGCATGCACATTTTAAAAGACCCATTTAAAAGCCAAAACAAAATCCAAAACTCAACAAATATCAGGTAATATGTAACCAAGTCAACAGGTTCCATAGGAAGGATTCTAACAAGAAGACAGAACAATTATATCAGAGAGGGGAATGGAAAACCCACAGGAGGATATTGTGGAGTTCCAGGGCTATCACTGAAAAGCCATGCTCCTACTAGAGGATATCAATCTGACATAATACGATACTTAGAACAGAATCTCCTCAACTACTCTTAAGTTACAGGGAGGCCAATGTGGAAGGAACCTAAACCTCACATGTTGTTGTTTAGTCGTTAAGTCGTGTCCGACTCTTTGTGACCCCATGGACCAGAGCACGCCAGGCCCTCCTGTCTTCCACTGCCTCCCAGAGTAGGATCAAATTCATGTTGGTAGCTTCAGTGACACTGTCCAACCATCTCGTTCTCTGTCATCCCCTTCTCCTCTTGCCTTCACACTTTCCCAACATTAGGTCTTTTCCAGGGAGTCTTCTCTTCTCATGAGATGCCCAAAGTATTGGAGCTTCAGCTTCAGGATCAGTCCTTCCAGTGAGCACTCACGGTTGATTTCCTTCAGAATGGATAGGTTTGTTCTCCTGGCAGCAGGGGGACAATATACAGCCTTGTCGTACTCCTTTCCCAATTTTGAACCAATCAGTTGTTCCATATCCAGTTCTAACTATTGCTTCCTGTCCCACATATAGATTTCTCAGGAAATAGATAAGGTGGTCAGGCATTCCCATTTCTTTAAGAACTTGCCATAGTTTGTTGTGGTCCACACAGTCAAAGGCTTTTGCGTAGTTAATGAAGCAGAAGTAGATGTTTTTCTGGAACTCTCTAGCTTTCTCCATAATCCAGCACATGTTAGCATGTTAAACCTCACACACTGGACTTTAAAATTCAACAACACTGCCTTTCACTGATTTTGGGAACAAAAATGGAAATCAATGTGATTCCTTCAACTTCACGATAGAAGTTGTACAAAAAAGAAAACAGTCATATAAAATACTATAGGACTATAATGATTTACTGCAGCAATCACCAATACAACGGTATTCCATCAGTTGAAGTTTCTGAACCATTTTTATAGATAACCTCATACAGGCATGTTATTACTGTCTGAAAGAGTGGTAGTACATGTAACAAATTGTGGAATAAATAAGTAGTCTCAGTGGAACACAAGAATCCCCATTCACTCAGTCCCCTTCCTGTCCTGGAATAAAAGGTAAAGGGAAGGAACAGGAAGAAAAAAGAAAAATTAGGCATTTTACAAAAGCACATTAGGACTGACCTCTTTTCTACTGTGGTTCTGTTCAGCAATATTGGACTGAAATGATTCTGCTGGGAAATAATGAATTATGCACATAGACAAAGCTGATAATCCTTCATCGCTGCACTTATTCACATCAGCCCCGTTATCAAGAAGGAGGTTGATAATGTCATCTCGACAACTCATCTGCACGAGAAAACCATATTAGATATGCTCATAAAGGTATAACACATATTTTGGAATCCTAGTATTTAATGTACTGCTAGTGTCTGCATGTGCTATAGTAAAGTTTAACATCCATTTTTTTACATACTACAGTAAAATAGGAACATATGTCCCCATACAATCCTTCTCAGTGCTTAAGAGCATCAGGAGGCGGCCCTTCTCTTGGTCCCATTGCCAGTGCAGGCACGGTTGATGGGGACATGGAAGAGGGCCTTTTTTGTGGCTGGTTATACAATGCTCTCCCTCAAGAGGTCAGGTTTGCCTCCTTCCTTTTATCCTTCCACCAAGAGCTGAAGAAGCACCTTTGTCAGGCAGGCTTTTAACCATCATGACTAACAATTTTTAAATTGTTTTCAGTGTGTTACATGTTTTTAATTATCCCATGTATTTTAATCAGTTTTACAGTTTAATTGTTTTTAATATGCAACTTATTGTTTCTAATTCTGTTCTTCTTAATACTGTGAGCTGTCTTGAGTCCCCTTATCGGGAGAAAGGTAGCCTACAAATCAATCAATCAATCAATCAATCAATCACTCACTCACTCACTCACTCACTCACTCACTCACTCACTCACTCACTCAATCAATCAATCAATCAATCAATCAATCAATCCATGTCACAGTAAGTAAGAGAAAACTAAACCCGACCAATTTTGCCTTAAAGCAGCATGATCCCAGGTACGATTTGTTCTTACAGCAGCAGCAGCAAGGGCAGTAAATCCATGCACATCTGCTACATCTGGATGGGCCAGATTGTCCCTCAGAATCTCATACACTCTATTGCAGTCTCCTTCTGCGGACTTCACAATCAGCAACTCTGCAGCACTCTCTTTGCGACCTTTGGCTCCAAAACCGTTTCGGTGGCCTTCCAGAATGAAATTAACATCCCAGTCTACATCCTTCTGGCAATGCCTAAAAATGAGAATAACCATTAAAAAAGCAGAAATGTGTGAATGCCTATTCTCTGCAATTCTGATCGTCTCCAAACCCTGTAAGGTGGAAGGATGGTAGCTTTTCTTTTCTTCACACCTCACATCTCTATCCCTGGCCTATTCACTGAAGTGATAAACCTACATCCCAACTGGCACACTTCAGACTGTAAAATATATGTGCTGAGATATTACAGAACAAAAGCCTCTTCATGCAAAAAATCTTCCCTAGCGCACAAAACAAATGAACAGGGAGAAGATGTTTAGCTCACCTTTTCAGTTCTCTATTTGGGAAATTCTTTGAAATGCAACCAGGCCAATTCTAGTCTGAAGCATCATAGCCAAAGGAGAGGTTATCTGTAACTAGACTTCTGTCTCTCCCTTCTTGCAATAGTGTTGAGACAGTTGTTTCCAGTGGTTCAGTAAAGGTGACAGAGCTACATCAGACAAAACCACCAGAAACTCTTAACTCCCTTCCCCAGCACTCCTCTGTTCATATCCTTCCCCAGACCAATGGAGTAGAGCTAATCGAAGAATGAAGATCTCCTCCAGTAACTAGGCTGGAGAGGAGCAGATTGGGCACAATTTATCAGCTGCCAGCATTTATATTTTAAGTTTTTTAGAGTATCATTTTTCCATAACAAGTAATTCTGCTAAGAATGGCAGGAAGTGGGAAAGCAAATAATGGGCAGAGGGACTTTTAAGCATTTGTGATGCTTCTTAATGTGCAAAGATAGGGCTCCCTTTTGACTCAGCAGCAGTTGAAAAGATGGGCACCCATGGTGTAATCTTTTAAATCAAAGGATATAAGTTACATAAACCTTTGTGTTGAAAAGACATATGTAGAAGCAGGAAAAGAAACAGGATTTCAGCAGCAATATGGAATATATACCAGATCAGTTATTTACTGCACAAACCACTGCTTACCTATATTTATACATGTGTTTCTGCATCCTGATCAGAAAGGGGGTTATATTTGTTATAGGCCATCTTTTTTCATAAGCCAGTCGTTTCCTTTTCTTAAAATACTGGAAATCAAATTCTTTTAGGAAGGTCCGAGTGAGAGGAAGATGATCTGCATCAATTGAGTAGATGTACATATTTTCAGGCAATGTGTAGCTGTCATCATTTAAGAGAAGTTGCTTGAATCTATAGAAAAATGGGTCCTTCTCCTCATTCAAATCCCACATTGTACTGCTGTCCTCTGAAATATAATCTCTACTGGACTCAACATCAAAATAAACTTTGAGTTCTGGAAACTCCGAAAGAATGAAATATCCAGGTATTTCCGTACACAATTTAATTATATGACTTCGATGCCACAAGCCAACATCTTGCGTATAATCCGGATATGTTTCAATTCCTGGTCCAAAACGTTCATCAGCCTTGTAAAGCCCCTTCAGTAGAGAAAATATAACCAAAAACATCAGAAGAGAGTAAAAGAAAAAAATCACATAGAAGAGCAAAAACTAACATATCACAGTTCATTTTGCATATTACAGGCTCTCACTTTACCAAGATATATTTAACAGTATGATCCAGGTTGCCTAAAAGTCATCTTTAACCATTCTTTCAGCAGTAAGGTTTGCTCTGATTTTTATTATTCATACAGAATTTTTACAACTAGCAGTGACTGAAACCAAAATAGGAATGTAAAGCAGGATCCAGAACACAAGAAAAATTGTAGAAACTGAAACTGTGTCTAATTTTAAATTGAGTTTTGTATTGGTTAAGGTTAAGGTTAAGGTTAAGGTTCCCCTTGACAATTTTTGGCCAGTTGTGTTCAACTCTAGGGGGCGGTGCTCATCCCTGTTTCCAAGCCATAGAGCCAGCGTTAGAGTTACGAAATGTCTACTTAAACCAGGCTTGTCCAACCTGCAGCCCGAGGGTTGCATGCAGCCCAGGACAGCTTGTAATGCGGCCCAGTGCAATTTTTTATTTTTAAAGAAATTCCAAAGTTTCAAGTTACACAGCCAGCACTTGTGGCCGGAATGTGGCTGGGGCATGTCACAACAGTAGAGGGGGAGAGAGGGAAGGAAGGAGTGGGAGCGGAGGGGACAGGGGGGCTGCGTTACTGCATTACGCCGTCCCCGTCAATAGGTGGCCCCCCTCCCGGCCCCATAAAGCCCCCGGAGCCAAAGCTGTCAGCCTCTGCTATCTGAGATTGCAGCTGCCGGTAAGTGTGCTTGGAGCGGGACTGTGGAGGACGGCTAGGGCTGCCCCCCCATGCAGCCCAAACCAAATGTATGTGTGGCCCAAACCAAATTTTCATCTTCTAATGTGACCCAGGGAAGGTGAAAGGTTGGACAAGCCTGACTTAAACTGTTCTGGAGAGACAGAGAAAAAGAAATGAATGACAATAAACATAATAAATAAAATAAAACATTTCTATTTTCCATTCTGCCAGATTTATAACTAGCCTTACCTCCATTCTAAGATAGGTCCTGCCACCAGATAAATATTTAAGAATGTTTAGGTCTAAATAATTTCAATGTAGAAATGGATGCAAAAAGCGATCAGTAGCACACTGTAGTAAGGCATCAGGAAGCCATACCTTAATTAGCAACAATACAATGGATTTAAAATAACAGTACAAAAAATACTGTTCATTGTTCATAAACAAAAATTCAAGTAGATAACTGCAAATACAGGAGGGAGACAAGCAGTCATCTCAGCTGGAACATGGGGGTGGACAAGTAAGAGTAGGAAGTAAATCAGAATTCAATCCACAAATTACACATTTGTCAGCAGAGGAATAAAGGCTCAAAACTGGTAGATCTGCTGCTGTTTCTAGGCATATCTGACCAAGTATGGTACATACAACTGATCTACCTCTCAATTTTAGTTTTTTTTTCCTCATATGAATTAATGCTCAGTAATCACCATAAAGAAAGGTTCCATGCACATCCAGCAGCCACTACATGACATCCGTTCTTCTCACAGGCATTTGTAAATTCTGTGCAAGCTGAATTTTGCTCGCCAGCACAGTGTGTCCCCAATGTTATCATCAAAATTAAGCAAAGTATTCATCAACCTTTATTTCTGAACTATAAAAAGTTTGCACTAATTCAAAAATATAAATCAGTGGTTCTTAACCTTTGTTACTTGGATGTTTTTGAACTACAACTCCCAGAAACCCCAGCCAGCACAGTTGGTGGTGAAGGCTTCTGGGAGTTGCAGTCCAAAACTCCTGAGTAACCCAAGGTTAAGAACCAGTGATATAAATGAGCAATATGAGTAGAAAGAAACTTCCAATCATTTGTTGAATTTCTTCCTTTTAAAGTCTTCCTTTTGTATGCATTATTATAAAATTTCTCCATTTTGTAATAACTTTGTCACGGTAATAAAATAAATGTTTTCTAATTACCTGAAATTTTCTCCCATCATTAAATTCCATGGTTCCATAGCCTTCTTTGTGGCTAAGATAAAATGACCCTGAAAATTTAGAGCCATCAGGCCAAAAGTAAATCCCTTTGCCATGACGATGGTCCTTATAAAACTGCCCTACATATCTCTGTAATAAAGAACACAGGGGGAATTATGTAAATAATACTACAACTTAGATGTGTAAGTCAGAATAATGCCTAGGAATAACTTTTGGTGAGGCTGAGGTCATTTTCAACCCCATAGGGGGCACTTCAGTGTTGGTGAAGGAGCTCAAGCCCATAAACAAAACCTTCATGCACATATAGCTTGCAGTCTGGTTTCCGCCCTCCTCCACCATATATCAAATTTCCCGCTTCACTCTGCTCTCGCCCCCTCCTCAGTCAAGTTATCCTTTGAGTCCGTCTCTACACTGGCGCTTTCTGACTTCCTTCCTCCCTCTCCGCCCTCTGTCTCGTGGGACGGCACACTCTCCGCTGGACCTCTACACAATCACATATTTTGGAAGGCATTTTCTTAACTTAATCGTACATCGCATGAAATATGTTTGTTAGTCCCAAATCCGCTGAGGTTTCATCGGAAATTCTAACATTAAAAGGTTAGACAGAAACCACTTTCCATATCCTATTCAACACCATTCATAACTTTTTAAAACAGTAACTTATCTTCCTTCTATTCACTCTTAGCTGAAAGCCCAACATAGAAACGAAGGTCCTACATCTAACATGATGCCAACTGAGTAAACCGTCCCACCACTAGCATATTAGTTCTACCACAGCACAAGCGGTAACACAAGCCCCACTGTGAGTGTGCAAATGTTTGCTTGCAAAGTATTCTTATGTTTCCTTGCTCAGGATAAACTGGATGGAATACCACCTTTACACAGAGGCTGTAAATGCATAAATGGACCGTGCACTAATGTGATGAGATTGCAGTATATAAACCAAAGGAATATGGCTTCATAACATCCAGTCTCAAGTAAAGGTTATGATGTACACATGAGCAATGTTGATGCATACACAGAAGTAATATTCATATAAAAATTACAATTTGAAATGGGGTTCCAGTTCTGAGCTGAAGAAGAATTACAGTTCATGGTAAACATGCCCTATCTAATTCAAATATCTTGGTACATTACAGAGATTGCAAACAAGAAAAGACTCTTAGTACACGAGGAGAGGAAGCTTGAAAATCCAAGGCAGTTCTGAAAGGTCAAACCATGATTTCACCATGAAAGCAGGGCAATGTGTGAAGCAGCCTGCATCTTAAATCAAGCACATAGGCATATGTGGAATTACATGAAAATATTTTATAAGACCTATCGGAATGGCTGCATGCCCAAATTATCATCATTTCTAAAATATGTCTAGGATCTAAAATACCACATATGCACCCAAACAAAACCAAACTTCTTAACCTTCAAAGCAGCATCCTTTAGAAGTACCAGAAATAAAAACCAGCCATGTGTGCACTCATATACAGACACATGCACATCCACATGCATAGATGCCTGTAAATCCAAGCTTTAACAAGGCAGCAAAATATTTCTGGGAGACTTTCAGAGAAAGTTGACAAGTGAAATATAACAGAAGACAAGTGAGTGCAAGTATGTGCCACAGTACCCTCACAAAAAACACTAGGAAAGAAATAAAGAAAGGATTCAACTACTGTTTTCCAAAGAGTTGGAATATGGCAACATTAATTTGCAAGTCAAGGAGGCTTATTCTACCTGCCTTCATCCAGGGAATATGACAGCACAGAAATTTATTGAAAATTATGACTTCATAAAAATGGGATATGTGGAGGGTAGAGTTCAAACAAAGTTAGTAATCCTGTTCAATCCAGGATTTACACTCCTGGAACAATTCATTAACATTGGTTTTCTTACTGTGACTTAGCTTCATTGCCAATCAGAAAAACTAGATAAAAGCATACATTCAGTATTGCAGAGATGTATTTATTAAATCTGCTTTAGTAAACACTGATGAGTATATACAAGGAAGAGGGAGCAACCTCCTGGACAAAATGAATAAATAGAACTCATGAAATTACATTTGATATCTTCAGAGTTGAATTACTGACTAGTCACAAAAAAAAAATACAAATATTTTGATCAAACTGGAAGAATCCCTTGCGAATCAAATCAATCTGAATCCAATTCCACATAAAGCAAAAAAGCAAAGCAAAGTGTGCTGCTTATATACTGCCCCATAGTGCTTCAAGCAAAAATAGCACTCTTAATAGGCCCATGAAAGTAACCAGTCCTCTAAACTGGCAACTTCTTTTTTCACAACCATCATAAAAACTACTAGTCACTGACCAGGTTAATACAGTTGGCTTTTAGCAAGCTGAGGAAGGAAGGATTTGGCCACCCATTCCTCCTTCAACAGCCTACTGTACTAAGTGATCTGACAGTAGAGTGACAGAGTGCATCTCCATTAATTCAGCTGCATGGAATTTCTTGACCTATGGTGACCACAGAGATCACTCATTCATAGGGTTACCATGAGTTGGAGACTACTTGACAGCACACAACCACCAGCACCAGCACCACCACCACATCAACATAGTGGCCAGGTACTATGCTATTAAGCATAAATTTGTGTGAAAGCATTATTGCAGGGTGGGGCAAGGACAGACTGACACAGCAGGAACAAGTACTGTCTGAATCACGTACATATCACTGAAGAAATGTCTAGCACTGTAAATGTTGGAGGAACTTGATCCAAGCACACCATCTTAGTCTAGCACTGTAAATGTTAAACGACTGTGGAGGAACTTGATCCAAGCACACCATCTTTGTTCCATCCTTCTCCTGAGTCAAGGAGATCAATGCTATCATTGTAATCATTAACAATTGTATAACAAAAGAAGGACTACCGGATTGGGAACAAGAATCATCAATTAATTTATATTTCTAGAGTACACCACACCCAGCTCTAAGAAAACATTATGGGCTAAATCCAGAGATCAGTGCTGAAAAAGAAGGACTACTGGGGGGGGGGAACTCTGGATTGGGAACAAGAATTATCAATTAATTTATATTTCTAGAGCACACCACACCCAGCTCTAAGAAAATATTATGGGCTAAATCCAGAGATCAGTGCTGAGTAGACTCACTGATTAAATGGGGGTTGTGTCAACACTCATGTAAGTTCCACTGAATTTATGCATCTACTTTATTTGACACTTACAACTGGAATTAGCACACACACCTATGTATGAAAAAAAACATAAATAACAATCGTAAGGACAAATATAGGGGACATTCACAATCTAAGAATGAACACATGCATTGCATGTAAAAAGTTCAAAGTTCAAAACCTGCCAGCTCAGCTGGAAGAATCAGGCAGAAGGCCATGAGAAAAATCTGGGCCTGAGACCCCTGAAAGCTCTGTCAGTCAGAATCAACAATAATGGATATATTAAATTGGTATAAAAGTATTTGTCCATGTTCCTTATTAGCCTGAGATACAGTAAATATTAAAATATCAGATTCTAAAAAGCCTAAGTCTGGAAACCAGAAACCAGCCTGATAAAAACAGTATTATACTGGTACCCCAAACTATTAAAACTTAACTCTTGACTTAAACTTTGATTAATCTTGCCATTAAGGCAACAGGAGTGGGAGTTCAGTGCATGTGTGCCATCAGGCATGGCCACAGTGGCAGTTGATATGGCTAGCATGAATATGTGTACATCCCAGCAGGGAAAGCCATTTAAAAGTGAGAAGTACACTGGTGGAATCTAATCTTTTTGGGTTGAAAAAGAGCAAGCATCTCTTTACCCAAGCAGGAAAGGGCAGGTCTCATCCAAATCCAGCAAACAGCTCCTTGACTGGCTGTGATCCACATAAGGGACATTCTCCAAATGTACTGAATCTTTATGCCCATTGCAACTACCCTTCCCCACCACAAGGGTGCCATAAGATCTGAATATTGCATGAGCTCTTACACCACATTAGGACCACTAGGGATGTTTCTTAAGGCACCCTTGCTATCTGAAGTCAGTATGCAGGTGGTTGTTGCATTCATCTCTTGATGAATGCATTTTTCCAACTGGCAAGCGGCAACTGCAGTATTTGGCAAATGTAGGCAACAACAATATTCTGGAATATAACAACATATAGTATAAGCATATTCTGTTTACTGAACCAGTTTACCTCACCATTGTCCCACGCAAATTCTCCATATCCAAGTTTTAAATCAAATGCAAATTGTCCTTTATAGCTGGAACCATCTGGCCACTCTTGCATACCAGTTTTATATTCAATCTTGTTATTATTCAGGTCTTCTTCAGTAAATCTATCTTGCAATTCATTGCTTTCTTCCTCATCACTCTCTTCATCTTCTCCATCACCGTCATAATTGAGAACAGATTCTGGTTCGAAATCGCTTTCAGTTTTTTCTCCATGAAAGGAGTCGCCATCTCTTGAGAGACTACCTCCTCCTTTGTGTTTGTCCACTCTGAAATCATAAAGAGTTACAAAAGCTCATTTACAAAATGGTTGGACTAACACTACTGTTCTGAACACACACTGGGAATCTCCCTGATTCCCATGCTATTTATTTACAATGTTTATAAGGGGCCTTTTAGAATAAAGCTTTTTAAGGTGCTTTTAAGAATAAAGATTCTTAAGCAGAGTCTTAACTCAATTATAGACAAAGATTAATGGGTCAGTCTTCTATTTATTTATTACATTTATACCCCACATTTTCACAAAAAAAATATAGCATTCAAGTTGGCTTACAAGGCTATTAAAAGAAATAGCAACAGATAAAACCAACATTTTGGAATAGCTTAAAGGCATGTGACAATGGACTGTGGTAGGTATCAGCTGCAGCAGAGTCCTACAGGAGAGGTGCCACTACTAAGAAATGTCTGCTAACATTGTTCTCAGAGGCAGGCAGACATACTAAAAGGTCTTCCACTGCTGATCTCACAAGACAGGCACAGCATGGGCAACGGGAGCTCAAAGTATCTGGAACCATTTACGGCTTTGATGGCCAATTTCATTACTTACACATATGCCTGAGAACCCACAGGCAAAGTGAAATGTGCAACTAGCTCAATAGTGATGTCACATAATATGCCCACTCATTGTGTACCAGTATTCAAGATGCCATGTTGTGTATCTATTAAGGTAATCCCTATTGAGTCATTGTTAAGTCAAAAGTAACCAGACAGCACAGAAAAACAAATGTATTTATACCCTCCATTTCTGCCAGGAAATGACATTCACTATTAGTAAAAATTCAAATAAAAACAAATTGAATAAAATCATTAAAACAATAAAAAAAAATTTACAACCCCCAAAACAGAAGTAAAAATTAACTAACAAAAAGAAACCAGCAAGATTCTATCAGTCAAAGACCTCCTCAGCAACAACCTGGCATAGATATCAATAGCCTATTTGAACGGAAGGAGCATTTTCTGCTGGTAGAAAGAGCACAAGCAGAAAGCAAGCTGAGCCTGCCTTGGCAGGAAGTTACAAAGTGATACAACACAGTTATTTGAGAGCAGTGATCCCACCCTTGTGTCCCCGTGTGCTCTTGGACTTCAGCTCCCAGAAGCCTTCACCACTTGTTGTTCTGGCCAGGATTTCTGGGAGTTGCAGTCCAAGAACATCTGGGGACCCCCAGTTTAACAACCACTGGTCTAGAGGGTACCTGCGTGCCTGACCCCGAGCTGGTACACACAGCAGCCTACATATAGGTGAGCTCCAAACCTATCCCAGGCAACACTGGTATAGTGTGTCTAGAACCCCCTTTTCCCAGCTGTGGCTGCCACAACCCTAAAACAGCCATGCAGAGCACAGTGCCCAGCAGAACAAGAGTGTAAAATGCTGATGTGCATAAATGCTGTCATCACTCCTGTCCAAGGAAATTATATGTTTATGGGTTATTCGGAGAGTCAGAGGCCAACTATTGTTCTTGTTATTTTCTCTGTACAGCTCACAAAGTTACGAATAACCAGCTGAAACCCAATTGTGAATCCAAGCTAGAGGAGGCCCACCGACCCAATGCTGACTGGCAAGTCAACTCGTAAGAAAATTCCACCCATCCAATGGGTCGACCTTTCTAGCTGGGACTGACAATTAGGGGTATTGCCCATTATCTTTTTTCTTTTCATTATTTAATAAAGCCACTTCAGAAATTAACCCTACAAATGCCCCCAAGGTGCGATTAAGAAAGAAATCCTCCACCCAGCCACAGCCACTCCGCACACGCACGTGCCAGGAGGCGTCCGTGTCACCACACAGATGCCTTGGCGCAAGTCCGTATCCCAGACCGGTTCACCCTCCATATGATGCGCGTCCAGGCAGCCAGGCCGGGGGAGGGGGAGGGTTGAGGAGAGAGACTGTCATGTTTCTGGGCTCCCGCCAGGGGTCCCCAGAGAACCAGAAATCTTGTCCCCGGTAGACAGCAGTAGAGGGGAACTCCGCGCGCGGCGGCGCCGCTCTGAGAGCCTTTACGCACCTCAGAGCCTCCGAGGCAGCCTGGACAGCCTCCATTGAGTCCGAAGATCCTCCAGCCGTGGCCTCCTCCTCCTCCACCACCTCCACCACCACCCGGCCAGCCAGCCAGCAGTTGCCTCTCTAAGAGGTTGCGGAGGGAGGAACGTAACAAAGAACAAGGGCCCGCAGGGGCGCAAGCGCTGTTCCCTTTCAATGTCAGGGCCCAGGTGCGGACGGGACAGCCTCTCCGGACACCCCCTCCCTTTCCCTCCCGCTTGGGCTGTGCCGCGTCAGAGTTGCCATAGAAACCGAGGCGGGTTCATGAAGCGGAGGCGTGGCTTCCTTTGGCCCCACCCTCTTCGGTACTTTGTCTGGGCGCCTTGGCAGGTCCGCCTTTCTCTCTTGGGTTGTTTGATGGGTTTCTTTTCGGGCACTTGTGTGCGTTTCTTTAAAAGTCTCCGAACAAAAAGCTTTTGTCACCTGCGGCAGGGAAGGGAAACGGGCAGTTCTGGAGCCACCCCGCCGGCCGAGGTCGCTTATCAGGGGCTAAGGTTGGATTACTGCAAGGCGCTCTACCAGGGGCATCCCCTGGAAGGGCCAAAAGACAGCAGCCAGATTGCTGAATGGGGCTGGTCACAGGGGTCACATAATCCCCTGTTATGGCAACTTCGCTGGCTGCTGGTCCGTTCCTGGGCATCATTCATTCAAAATATTTTTACCCCACCTTTCTCCTTGAAAAGGACCCAAGGCGGCTTACAACACTGAAAGACAGTACAGTATTTAAAGTTGAAAACAATGAGTACACAATGGTGGTTAACATCATTAAAAGGCAACATTAAAGCTAAGAACAGTAAGTATACAAATATTTTAAAAAATACTACTCTGAGAAATGGAAAACAAAAATGGAGAACACAAGTGATACTAAATATCGAGTCCAAGCAGTAATGCATAACAATCCATCCAAAAAAATCATACAGTTAACTGGTTTACTGAGGAAAGGCTTGCCTGGAGAGAAAGGTATTTGCCGGTTTGCAGAAGGACAATAAAGCCTCCTGAGGGAGGGAGTTCCAAAGACTGCAGCAACAGAGAAGGCTCTCATGTGTCCCCATCAGATACACCTATGAAGGTGGCAAGACCAAGAGTTGACTCAGAATGGGGAGATACAGTCTTTGAGATCACTTGGTTTTAACTTATAAAATCTTAAACGACCTGGGTCCTTCCACAAGCAGGCGAAGACCTTGTCCCCATATGAAGGTGGCAAGACCAAGAGAAAGGCTGATGATCGTAACACCTGAGTTGGCTCAGAATGGGAGATACAGTCTTTGAGATAACTTGGTTTTAACTTATAAAATCTTAAACCTTCTGGGTCCTTCCACAAGCAGGCGAAGACCTTTCTCTTCAGGCAGGCTTTCCCTTAATTACTGTCTGCCTGAGTGGGGTTCTTAAATGAATTCTTGTGCCTTACTGCATTGAATGTGGATTGATGTTCTTCTGATTATCATCTTTTACTGTGGTATTTAATTCTTCTTTGTATTTATATACTTACTGGTTGTTGTTGTTGCTTTATTATTATTATTATTATTATTATTATTATTATTATTATTATTATTATTATTATTATTATTATTATTATTATTATTATTATTATTATTATTATTATTATTATTATTATTATTATTATTATTATTATTATTATTATTATTATTATTATTATTATTATTATTATTATTACTTTAAATATTGTGTTTGAATGTTGTAAACTGCCTTAGGTCTTTAGGGTGAAAGGTGGGGTAGAAATGTTTTAAATAAATAAGTAAAGGAATAAATGGAAAGAGGTTTAAGCAATCCATATTTTAAAAATATTTCTTGGAAAAGAGACTTTCCTCCATTATGACCGAAAGTTATATTCCTAATGCTTTTCATAGTTTGAGATAAACTGTCATTTTATGCAAGTGCCACTGTAAGAATTTGAGTTTCTTATTCTGTCTCTTTCTTTTTCGTTTTGGTAGAAAGACAAATAGATACATAGGTGGAACCAAGATAGAGTGTGATCAGATGTCTGGAAAGGTGCACACCCAATTGCACTAGAAAGGGTTGCTTTGCAGGGAGCAATCTCCCTAAATATAACTCTTGTATCTGTTGGAGAATCACTCCAGCATGGTTCCCAAAAGTAGTAGCCCTAGAGCTGGACCAGAAAGGTCGAGCTTGGACATGGATTGGGGTCAGGCTGGAGAGTAATTCACTGTACATTGTGTAATCTCTGGGAAAACAGTCACATCAGACTGCTCCACAAGTGTTCTAAAATGTGCTCTATTTCCCCATGTGATCATTGGGGCATTCATTTCAATATAACCTCTAGAGGCTGCACATTCATTCTTGTACTAAATACAGGTTGCTTCTTCATTCATTCATTCAGGTTAGAAGCAATCCTGTGATGGTTCTGAAATGGAAGGATTAATCTTCCACTTTCTGTTACTGTCCAGAGAATGCCTGCACATTGTGTGTGCAGGCTGCCCTGTGACTCATACAAATTGCTTTTCTTTCTAGAATATTTGAAGGAGCACCTTTTTCTGGATGTTCTGTCCCATTCTTTTGCTATGTCTAGTCAAAAGAAAAAACTTTTAGCCATGTCACCAACATGACTGTTGCCACTATCAAACAGACAATTTTGATTACCAATCTGTCTGTCTGTCTGTCTGTCTGTCTGTCTGTCTGTCTGTCTGTCTGTCTGTCTGTCTGTCTGTCTGTCTGTCTGTCTGTCTGTCTGTCTGTCTGTCTGTCTGTCTGTCTGTCTGTCTGTCTGTCTGTCTGTCTGTCTGTCTGTCTGTCTGTCTGTCTGTCTGTCTGTCTGTCTGTCTGTCTGTCTGTCTGTCTGTCTGTCTGTCTGTCTGTCTGTCTGTCTGTCTGTCTGTCTGTCTGTCTGTCTGTCTGTCTGTCTGTCTGTCTGTCTGTCTGTCTGTCTGTCTGTCTGTCTGTCTGTCTGTCTGTCTGTCTGTCTGTCTGTCTGTCTGTCTGTCTGTCTGTCTGTCTGTCTGTCTGTCTGTCTGTCTGTCTGTCTGTCTGTCTGTCTGTCTGTCTGTCTGTCTGTCTGTCTGTCTGTCTGTCTGTCTGTCTGTCTGTCTGTCTGTCTGTCTGTCTGTCTGTCTGTCTGTCTGTCTGTCTGTCTGTCTGTCTGTCTGTCTGTCTGTCTGTCTGTCTGTCTGTCTGTCTGTCTGTCTGTCTGTCTGTCTGTCTGTCTGTCTGTCTGTCTGTCTGTCTGTCTGTCTGTCTGTCTGTCTGTCTGTCTGTCTGTCTGTCTGTCTGTCTGTCTGTCTGTCTGTCTGTCTGTCTGTCTGTCTGTCTGTCTGTCTGTCTGTCTGTCTGTCTGTCTGTCTGTCTGTCTGTCTGTCTGTCTGTCTGTCTGTCTGTCTGTCTGTCTGTGCATGATGGCAGAAAAATGTACCCAGTCTTTGAAAAACAGATTGAGCAACATTAATTTTAGGTCACTGATTTTATTAAGAGGTAATCTGAGGTACCATCCTGTCATACTTGTCAGTGTGAGAGAGGAAGAGGGAGCTTGAAAGAATCTGTAAAATGTGATCTCACTGAATCATTTAGAATGAACATTAAGAAGTTTGTTTCCAAGGTGCTGGATGTTATTGGCTGAGATTTCCTGTGATCCTTCAGGGAAATGAATATGTGAGAGCCCTGGGGACATGGGATTTCAATGAGTATTTGTGAAGAAGAGAAGACACTTTGGGAGTGAGACAGGGATCGGTAGATTTTTAAATACTTCTTGTACATATTGACAGATATTTTTTTCCACCTTTGGCGGATTGCCCGGCTGCGACCTTACCTAGACACGGGGGCGCTCACTACCTTAGTACATGCACTCGTAATTTCTAGATTAGACTACTGTAACGCGCTCTACGTGGGGCTCCCTTTGAAGCTGATGCGGAAACTTCAAGTGGTGCAGAATGCGGCGGCCAGACTCCTTACTGGAGTAAGAAAATACCAACATATCTCTCCTACTCTGGCCATGCTGCACTGGCTGCCCATCCGTTTCCGCATTGACTTCAAAGTGTTAATGCTTACATATAAAGCCCTAAACGATTTAGGACCTCGATACTTGGCGGAACGCTTACTCCCAACTAGTTCTACCCATGTCACCTGCGCGAGCCAGGAGGTGAGACTGAGGAGCCTGACGCCGAGGGAGGCCCGGAAAGAAAGAACTAGAAACCGGGCCTTCTCGGCGGGGGCTCCTCGCCTCTGGAATAACCTACCTCCGGAGATTCGTGCTGCACCCTCGCTGGGTACTTTTAAGAACAAACTAAAGACGTGGATGTATAGGCAGGCCTTCCCTTCCAGTTAATTCCTGTCCTCTTTCCTTTTTTATTCTTTTTCTCTTTATTTGATTTATTTTGTATTTTTCCCATCACAGAATCATTTAATTAATTAATTGTTATAAATTTTTCTTGAACTTGTTATCCTTTATGTTGTAAGCCGCCTAGAGTGGTCGAAATGACTAGATAGGCGGGGTATAAATACAATAAATAAATAATATTTACACAAGGTTTCATAGAATGGCCTCAGGCTGATACTTCAGGAGTGCCACATCCTATGGTGGCAGCTACAAGTTAATTTTCATTGATAGTTCTAAGCATGTGGACATGCAGTTACTTAATATGTGTTATAATGTATCTTGTCACCATATGTGTTATAAATATTTTCAGTTTGTATCTGGAATAATACTTTGATTCAGCAAGGAAGAAAGCATTATTAATTATTAGGTACTAGATTTTATGTTACATGCAGAACTCCATTAGACGCTTCCTCACAAATATGAATTTCCATAGTACCATGAAAATCTTGAAAGTAAGTACTACGTATATGGGAGCACCTTAAATATACATGCTGTTTGGATAGCTCAGTGGTTTTGATATCTGGATGGAAGTTTGATTCCCCACTGTGCCTCCTGTGAGTAGAGTCAGCCAGTGTGGCCTTGGGCAAGGTGCATAGTCCCAGGGCAAGTAAGGAATGGTAAGCAACTTCTGACTATTGTCTACCTGGAAAACCCTGAAAAGAGTTGACATAAGTTAGAATTGACTCGACAGTACATTATTTTGTTATTATTAAATATACATACCTTTTGGTACAAGTACACAAAGATATTTTCTATCTTTTCATGAGTCATTCACATGTAAATAGATAACCTGTTATATTGCAGTAATAAACATGTAAGATCTAGCATATGTTTCGCCCGGCATTGCTTTCAACAAAGCATCATATTTTACCACTAAAAGTATATTGGATGGAATCCTATTGGGGTTTTATGCCTGTGTAAGTTACACTGCAATAACTAACTGTGAGTTGCCACTAACTGAGGATCCACAAGCACAACCAATTGCACAACAAACACATACCTGGTGATCAAAGCGTCACTAGTTGGCAACAACTCAGCATTGTGATTTACACAATTTAACTTTATAAATCACCAACAGGATTCTGGCCATTACAGTATCAGGCAAAATCATAATTTCCAAAATAGTAGGTGCATCGATTTTTTTAGTGTCCCAAATTAAAGAACGGACAGCAGACATAGCAAAGCTGGAACCAGCTAAGAAAAGTTTGGGTAACCAGTTGGAAAACCTCTTTTTGGAGCACCAGATTTCCTCGAAGTCCCCCATCTGTAGGAAAGATGTTTGTTTCTCCCTCACAGAACAAGGATCTTGGAAGGTCCACAGGATTACCAGGACACTGTTATCAGCTCTTGAACAATTTGCAACATTTAGCTACAACTGATACAGGTTAAAGGAAAGTTATCCCACTTTTAGAGGTACTTTGCCTCTTTCTGTTGATTCTACAGTGATGGCTTTTCTTACGGAAATTCTTAATGATTTCTCTTAATTTCTCTAATACATTTATACACAGTAGATTATTATATGCATTTATTTGCAATACAAAAGACAACAGATAGAAAATCAGGCCATTGTCCCTAGTGGTGGAATTGCCAGTCTGAGATTTCCATTTGGCTATAGTCACAAGTTGCCACTTCTTGTGTATGTTCTCCTCTTGATAAACAAGTTATAATGAGAATCAGAAACTCCAGTAAACAAACGATGGCAGAGATGAATTTTTATCCCAGGAAGTCAGCTAGTCTTAAAAACACTATGTCTGTTCTCAGAGTTCTGTGTTGTCATAATTATGTTTTCAGCTCTCCCCATTCACTGTTTTCTTGGTTTTAGATAAAATGTTTGACATAGCAGAAATCCGTTGTGCATCCTTAATCTGATACATCTGAAACTGGGGGGAAAAAATAAAACATATTTAGTGCATGCAGACATATGCTTGCTTTCACAAATCCCTAAATATTCTGAATACAATTACAGGCACTTTAAGGATAATATACATGTACCCTAGAAAGGCTACTTGTTTTTGATTTAATAATGGTAAACGTGATAAACCATTGTGGATAATGCAAAAAACATGTGTGCTGTTTTATGCCCTTGAATGTTGCCTTCATATGAATATTGAAATTTTTGTTACGGCTGACATAACTTCTTTTTTCTCTTCTTCTTCTCCTACCAGATGTTGGATGCCATTCTGGGTGCTCTGTTTTTTGATACAGCAGCTCTAGTATTATATGACATCCAAAACAGTCTCCAAGGTATTCCAGCCAATATATTTTTCTCCTTCCTGCATTTCATTTCACAGCTATTGCATCTAGAATGATGATTAGTTGTAACAATCAGTACAATTTTTGTTCCTCACTACATGAACAAGCTGTTCTAGCTTTCTGCATTTTATGTGTTTTATGATTTCTTGGTCCTTCTTCATTTGCTTTGGTACCTCTTGCACATTACATTCTTCACCTTAAGAAGCTCCCTGGCCACCTGTACTCCAACCTCTTGCACAAGACTGTGATCCCTTTGTTCATTCAACCAGATTTAAAGGCACTTAATTCCAAGGCATGTCAACATACTCCACCTTTCATAATGAGTCATTAATTGCATTTCTTGGGCTGTTTGCTTTTCTCAGTATTTAGACTGTTCATTATTGCCTTCATTGCTTTCATGGAGTAACATTTGCAGGCCATTTAAATTATTGATTGATTGATTGATTGATTGTGGAGTAACATTTGCAGGTCATTTAAATTATAATTTATTTTATTTATTGATTGATTTGATTTGATTTGATTTATTTGATTTATACCTCGCCCATCTGGCCTAAAAGGCCACTCTAGGCGGCTATAAGTTGATGATATTGTATCATCTGCATGTCAGGCATAGCAACATTTACTTTTTATATTTTTTTATATTCTGCTTCTTGAAACCTGAGGGGAAAACAGTCAGAGTATTTCCCTACAATATTATGAGAAGTCTACAAGCTGAGGCATGAAAGGGCTGTTAAAATCTGACTTTTAATAGTTATGTTTTCCCTTTACTCCCACATATCTTTTAGAGACAGTTCTTAAGTGCGTAGTAGAATGAAACTAAGCCCAAATTCCCTATCTCTGCTAGAAAACCATAGATGAGGATCTCTGTGATTTGTAGTAGATCTCCACGGTGTTTCCAATTCCTTGTACTTTAACAATAGCAAGTGAAATTGTAGGCTTTTTTTAAAAAAAACATTACGTGGCTTGAGGTTATTAAGCCCTTATCCCTTGGCAGAAACAACAGCAATGATCTTATTAACAGCCGCTTATGCCTCAGTAGATTAACACTGCTATCTCTCTAGAAATTCTCTCTTAGTCTCCGTATTTGTCACTTCTGTTCAACCCTGTTTCTGTTATCATCCCATTCCTGCATGAATTCCGATATAGATTTATATGGGGATACACTGTAAAATGCTTACATTGCTTGTGGGGTACAGTAGAAGATTCAGCTGCATCTCTCTCTTTTCAGTAATTTTCACTTGCCTCTGGCTGACAAACCTCAGGATTATAGTGAAAAATAAAGGAGAGCCCACAAGCCAAAAGTCTGCCCAACCTGCATAAAGCCAAGAGTATTTCTTTTTCATGGAACCATAGTACTTTAACAATGAGTTGTACAAGTTCCAAGCTTGGCTTGTCCCCATTTAAAAAAATAATATCTTACATTCCTATAACATTTTAAATAATGGTGGTTGTAGGTTTTTTGGGCTGTTTGGCCATGTTCTGGAGGTTTTTCTCCCTAACGTTTTGCCAGTCTCTGCAGCCGACATCTTCAGAGGACAGGAGCTAGAACTCAGAGCACAGACAGAGTTCTAACTATTGTCCTCTGAAGATGCTGGCCACAGAGAGTGGCAAAATGTTAGGAAGAAAAACCTCCAGAACATGGCCAAACAGCCCAAAAAACCTACAACAACCATCGGATCCCACCCGTGGAAGCCTTCGAGAATACATTTTAAATAATATTTAAACATATTTTAAAATGCTTTATGCAAATATATTTTTGTCCCCAATCTTGTGAAATATAGGTTGGGAAAATAAATGAACAGCTATTGATTCAAAGCTCAGACATTATCAGCTTATTTACTTTCATTTTAGGAGCTAACAGAGCCAAAATGAAACAAACAAAAAAGCATTCTGGCACATTTAAGACTAAACAGATTTATTTCAGGGTGAGCTTTTGTGGATTAACACCCACTTCTTCAGATGTATATAGCACAATATATAGGGCAGGGAAAGAGAGACAGGCATAGTATACACAGAGGCATGGGGACCAAGTAAAACAGGATGTGGAAGATAACAATTGCATTAATGTTGTTAATGAACTTTTGAAGTGACAATGGCTTTATTAACAGATTACATAAACATTGTGGCAATAGGTAGACTAATTAACTTGTCTGGATAGTCTGGAAAGTACTTATCCAAATGGCTTTTGTTTCAGAAGGTAATTGGTTGTACTGAGGCCAGAGAAAACAACGTTTGGATTGTACACTAGACTGTACAGAAAGCCAGAAAATAATGTGTGAGAGTGGTGCCACTGAGTCAGAAGCAGATTTTGTAGGTAGCTCATCATTAGAAAAGGAAAGTCCCTCAGGGCTGACTGTGTGTATGTATGTGTGTGGCATAAATTAGTATTTTGCAAATTAGCTTGTTTTGTGATTGGTCTTCAGGACTTAAGCATAAAATTGCTTTGGTCTCAAACACAAAAGCCTGTCATCTACACTAAGGTACTTTCACTCCAGTGATGGACTATTTATAACATTAGGTTCTACTCTCAAATATTTATCCTATTAATGTGTGGATTTAACTATGTCATTGTTTACCATGTTTGAGTAGGTTGTGCTGATGCTTTTTTGAAATGCATGCCTATGATTAATTTAAAATCCATCATTAGAACTAATTGACAATGGGTTGTCTCAGTTATAATGCCTGTTTTGTGGAATTCCTCTCTCAGAGACATTCACCTGGAGTCAACATAGTTTTTTTAGTGCCAAAGACAGTTTTAAATTTTCCCAGGCTTTTTAATGTATTGTTATCATAACATGCAGTAACTTAATTTTCATTTAATTTTTTTTATTTTAACGTATTTGTGTAGAGTACTCATGGAACAATACTGAAGAATGGTGTAAAAGTATTTTCAATAAAATATATCTTCAAATCTGAACCAACTTTTTGTGGTTTTTCTGAAGTCTATGGAGAAGTTCCAAGATCTCATACATTTGAAGACAACATGTGACTGTCTGGTTGCAAGTTGCAAATGTTGGCTTTATAGATTACCTTATTAAGCAGCACATCAAAGAAAGCAGTGTCCCAGTAGGCTTTGTCCTCAGCTAGAAGGTGAAATAAGTCTTTGAGACCATTGTCCCTCTGGTGGTATGGTTTGCCATCTGTTGTGATAAAATGGAACTTCAAAAACTGTCCAGGACTATAAGCAAAGCTCTCCACTTTGGCATACAAATTGCTCAGCTCCAGACCATCTCCCTGAAATAGATTCTGCTCCGGATACAGGAAATGGGGAAGAGTTTTGTTCACCAAGCAGCAAAGCAGGATCACCAGCAGACGGTACACCGATCCTTCCAGATTCATCCAGTCTTCAGAAGAAGGAAAAAAATAAGTGGCCCAGAGCAACACCATCTAAGAGGTGAGGAAGGAGGAAGCATGAAAATTAGCTGAAGGCAGTGCTGAGAACAGAATATGTATTTCCTGGTATCACAATACTTTCCCACATAACACAAAAATCTTTCAAAGAACCATAAGTATACACTCCTTCAGATCATTGCTGCACCATACCTTCCCTGATAAAATTGAAAAATGCTTTTAGTAATTTCTTGTTAGTTATGGTCTTGTCCCCCTACACCCATTCTTGCTGTGAAAGCCTGGGGACAGCCTCCCTGGGAACCAGATGAAATTGTTCAAGCTGGTTTATTTCACCATGCTGATAAGCTGTTAAATGAATACAGTGCTATTTCACTTCAGAAAAAAGAGCGAACTGAAGACTGTTGAACTAATGCAGTGCCATCTACAGTATATAATATTTGCCAAGGCAAGGCTTCAGATTGTGCATCAGGACTTGCTGTGGCTGCTAAACAGAAGAGGAGGGAGTGCAGTGCAATGACAATACTAAGAAACCTTTGCACCATCCCTCCTAATACAGCAGCAAGAGCTTCCCCTTCACCTCTTTGCTGCATGTGGGATGCGGAATGCCTGCTCCCAACTAGATCTACTCGGATCACCCGCATGAGCCAGGAGGTGAGACTGAGGAGCCTAACGCCGAGGTAGGCCCGGAAGGAAAGGACACAAAACCGGGCCTTCTCGGCGGTGGCTCCTTGCCTCTAGAATAATCTTCCTCCGGTTATGTTCAGGCCTTCCCTCCTGTCAATATTTAATTCTTTATTTTTTTTCTTTCATTTATTATTTGTTTTATTATTGTATGTGTTATGAACTGTTTGTAAAATTCTTATGTTTTATCGTATACACCTTATCGGAAGCCGCCCAGAGTGGTCGACCAGATCAGATGGGCGGGATATAAATCGAATGAATGAACGAACGAACGAACGAACGAATGAATGAATGTCACAGATATCTCTGAGCCATGATATCCACAGCTTCAGTGTTAGGATAGCAATTACAATGGCTGTTTGTGCACGGGGAAAGTGATCTACAAAGATGAACAACAAGCACAAAGGCCCACAACCCACTCCCCTAATTGTCTCCCGGGACCAGCCTCTTCCTTTGCTGTTGACAGGCTGTGGATGGGAATGAGTGTGAGTGTGCCAGGAGCTGGTGTGCAGCTGCTCAGGGAGGTTGTTTGTTGGTGAAATGCATCCTAGAATAGCCCATATATGAAGTGCTGCAGGACTACTACAGGAATTTCAACAGTGGCGGGGGGGGGATCCTGGCTGGTTTTAAAAACTGACAGGTTAAAAAAAGCTTCTGATGCAGACTGTGTGGTGTTTCTGCAGTGAAGTGACAGCTTTAATTCCTGGATGACTGTGACTTTCCCCTCTTTCCTAGATGGCTGCTATGCCTCAGCAAGAGCATCATTTAGGAGGTAAAATGCACATTGTCCACAGACTTTGTAGAGAAATTGTTATGTGGAGACAACATCTTAGCACTTTCATTGTTGGTAAAAAAGGGATTAGACTCTTGGGACAGCATATTCCAAAAGGAAAGATCTCAATTTATGGAGCCCCAAACTACTCTCCAAATGAGTAGCCTAAGCTTAATGGAAGTAGAACTTGCCTCCTGCTTCATGAGAGATACCAGCCTTCTTGTTGCATCTGAAGTGTGTTTCTGTGTTCATGTTCCCTAGGCAATTCTTATGGCAATTAAGATAACAAGCACAAGATAATAACAAACATTGCAAGCAGCCAACTTTTTATCAAACCAAAGCAACTCCTAAAATTAAGACAAATAAAGGAAGCTTGTGAAAGTGTAGACTATAAAAATAGAATTCACAAACAGCTGAACAAAAATCAAGGCATACATCTAAAATAGGTTTGTTGTTCTAAATCTGGCTTCCTTCCTAAAATGGTCTTACACTTCTTATCAATTATTAGCAGGAGTTGAAAGGTGCAACAACTGAAGTAAATTGCCTGTAGGCTAAATGGCACAAACCCAAGTTTTTGTAAAACATGTTTTGCTGTTCTGTATTCTCAACCCTGGAGTTAGGACAGATAGACCAGGTCCAAAAAGTGGGAAGCAAGCAATCTAAAAACAAAGGATATCCCTGCCGTCAGCACAAATGAGCTGATGTGAAAAGATCAAGTCTGAAGTTATGACTGTACAACACAGTCCTAAGGAGGTATAAGAAGAAAGGGTACTATCGATGCCATTGTAGAAAGGTGAAAGAGTCTAACTCTGATTCTGAGACACAAATTCCAAACCTATCTAGTTGTTATTGACCAAAGAAGGAGAAAAGACACATGTTTCATGTCTGCATTCCTTCACCGTCATGGCTAATGGAAGTAGGAAGGTAGAGAATCTACTCTGAGGAAGCAGTACAGTGAAGTTTAAAACAACCGTCGGCGCACCACAGTCCTGATATACATCACACTTCTTCCAAAATAGCAAGAACACAAATCTGGAACTAGTAAAATTCTGCTTTCCCTTTTGCATTTAGCGGAATGAAGAGAAGGGACACCCTTAACTTACTAGGAGTATGTTTGAAAAATGCCGCCACTTATAATATCATAACATTTCCAATTTGCAACATATTTAACCATTTTTATCACTTTTCCTTGGGCATTATGCTTCAAGAATCAAATGAAGGGCATAGCCATGCTCCCTGACAGTGTCTCCACCACTATGTTTCCCATCAGTTTCCCTCCCACTGGCCACACATTACCTGGATGTGATTTAAAACTAGGTGCAAAACTTGAAAGAGTTGCCTTTTTTTGTTATGACAACTCCCAGAATCCCCCAGCCAATGCCCACATTGGCTGTGAGATAATACGAGTTACAGTCCCAGTAAGAAACTTTCCCAGGCTCTGAGCCAGCATGAGTAGGACTGTAAACCATACAGAGAGCCAATGGACATAAACCAGGCTCCCCTTGGCAAATGTTCACACTCCCTATGCATGAACAGCAACATTAGGGCCAAGAAGTGACTCAGGGATATGGCCAGCAAGTATGACTCACATCAAAGACAGCCTGATGGCCTAGAGGGAGCATCTGAACCAAAATTTGGAGGTGAAATTCTCCTCAGACCGTCAGCAACCTGTGCTTCATACAGCTGAGATCATATGAGACATAACTCTTGAGCTGGCTGTGTGTTTGTTCTTTCATATTGGGCACAAATTCCCATTTTGTAAACATATTTTTGAGAGATAGTCATTTGTCCTGGGCCAAAATAGAAAAAACAACAACACAATTTCAGCACCTGTAATAAAGAAGATATTTCTCTGTTTCACTGCAGCTCATTGATTTGAACTACCGTGCAGAGAAAGCAACCAGTTGAATTGAATATAAAATTTATGCTGTTGATATGAGACTAGAAACCATCTCTCTCAAGTCTTCTCAGCAACCATACCTTCCTTGTCCCCATTTTATATGTGCTGTTCAGGAGGTCTTTCTGATTTCCTGACGAAAAGATCAAAGGGGATAAGAATCTGGATTAGTCAAGGATAGAGATGGACAATCTTTGATCCTCTAGATGCTTTGAACCATGCTAGCTGGTTACCATGGCACAAACCCACTAGCTTCAGGGCAAATAAACCACTTCAAAAAGGTATTAATTAGCAATTCATAGGGAAGAAGAAAAAGAACAACCTTCAAGTGGTGAAATGTAAGCCCTGTTTCTTTGCCTTCCTCTCTCCAGTTCTCATGGTTGACTTGGTTTAGGATGCGGAGACTGTCCAGACGATATCCTTTTAGGGTGCTCACAATTTGGAGAAGTTTCAGGATGGCGCGACTGGTGGAGTACCTAAGAAAAGAAAGATGAAGCTAGAAGCTGAAATTGATTTCAGACTACACTGTGCTTCAGAGTAGTTACTACAGAGGCAAAGCTGTGGAATAGACAAAGGAATATTTGGCCTCCCAGATGTTCCCAGACAGGAATTGCCATTATTTCTCACCATTTAATAAACCATCCAGGACTGATGGGAGTTGCAGTTCCCACCCCTGGAATAAAGTCCCAGTGTTCATACTAGCATTCATGATGTAGATTGCTAACATATTAGCACAGGGAGGTGCAAATGTAACCCTCAGGATGTTGCAAAACTGCAGCGCCCATTACCCCTAGGATAGCCAATAGTCAGAAACCTTGTGAGACCAACATTATCTGGAGCCCTATCATACTCCAGGTTAGTTGTATTTTGGAAGCAAAGACTATACAGGGGATATAGGAACTGTGGAGAAGGAGGACAGTGCCACATTGTTTCCAAACTTCTAACAAAGCAAGTCACATAAAAGGTTGCAGCGTTCACCCTTATTATGTTAAGTAGTCATGCATATTCATGTTGCAGGCTAATGTTGCTAAGAGGTGGAGCCAAGAGATAGGTAATAAAGAGTTGGAGTCAGAGAGTGAAAGGGGTCGGTCAGTCAGTGAGAGTCAGAGGACAGATCAGAGTGAGACGGAGATAAAGTGTGGTATTTGGGAGATATGAGGTGTGATTAGAGTGAAGAGTGAATAAGAATTGTTATAACAAATAGAAGGTTGAGATTGATTATCAATATACCTGTAGAAGTTACCTATAATTAATAATCAAACATCTGTAATCAATAAACAAGTTTTATTTAAAAGACAGTGAAGTTTGGACCTTCATCATCCTTCCATAAGTAATGCTGATTTAGTGATCAACTGGTGGCAGCGGGTGAAAAGGAGTAGTAGTTTGCCTTCATGTGCTCTGTGTTTGGGGAGTTAGGCAGGGCACAATGGGTGAACACCAGAAAGATATGCTAGCAGAAATAATCTCAGGTGCAGAGAAACAAATATTCTCCAAAATCCCCATATTCAAAGATATGTCTAGATTAGCAGCAACCCCACATGCCCTCAGGCATGGGGAGTGCAGGTTCTACAGGCAAAGTTAACAAATGAGTGCACTCTTTTGTTGTTGTTATTTTTTTGCAAAATAAATGGAGTTAATACATGACAAAGCTATCAAGCATTTGTTTGTGCATCTCTGTGGCACACAGATACAGTATTTGGATTCCTATATATTTACATTCAGTAATGCATTAACATTACTTGCTGAATTTTGCATGGTGAAAGCTGGCTTGGATCAAAGTGCATTACTGGATGAATATAAATAAGATAGCATGCATTAATATGATATATATAGATATAAAGGCATGTCAATCAAGGGTGGAGAAGCCACATACAATAACAGCCCCATCAATGTTGACTTTACTCAATATTACCACTTAGTATATTTCTGTTGATGATATGCAGATATTCAAGTCACTTGTTGCTCTGCAAATACTTTTAAATATGTATGTACATGCAGTGATCAAACCTCTTCCCTCCCCGATAATGCAATTATGCATGTGCTTGACATGCATAGGCAAGGCTGCCCCTCCCATTATCTTTCATGACCGCTCAGGCAAAATCTACTGACTCTCCTGCTTTCCCTCTAAAATCTCTCTGGGAGATGTGTCGTGTGTAATAAGGAAAGTTGCTGGTCGGTGACTTTTTTTTTTTAAACCCTGGAAGCCCCTGCAGTTGGGTTATATTGAAATTCAACTGTAACAAAGGCTTTAGAACTTGCTCCTCCAAAGTTGCATCCCCAAAGGGGTGAAAATCACTTTTCACTCATACATGTCAATGTAACAAGTCCAAGCATATTAAATTGGGGTTTTTCTTATCACCACAGCAGGTCAAACCAGTGTACTAAAAAGTGGTCAAATTGCAACCTCATCATAGGGTTTAACCTTCCTGTGGTACAACCTGTTGCTAAACCTTTATGGTTAACTGTGTTATGCTCATGCCCTGAACCAATTGTCGGCCCTAAAAATATGTCTTCCAACTCCTCTCTCTATTCACTGTTTCCAGGATTATGTATTAATTCATTAGAGAAGTATATTCTTAAAAATTAGGTGTTTGGGGCTTCTGAAAAGTCTCTGTGTGTGTGTGTGTGTGTGCGCGCGCGCGTGCACGTGCACGCATGTGTGTGAGAGAGAGAGAGGAGAGAGGGAGAGAGAGAGAGAGAATAATCCTGACAAAGAGAGATTGCCTTGTGCTGAAACAACTTGAAGTGTATTCACAGGCCAAAATAGGATGCAGGCCATCCTAGTTTGGTGGAACTCATTGCCTTTTCAGCATCCATGGGTGCACACAGATACACTCAGATCAGCAATAATTTCTCCTATACAGTATTTGCAAGGGAATGGAGAACCTTTCCCTTATCCTGCAATCCTGAAACATACTGCCATTTCTGGCTCTTAAGATTCAATCAAAGCAACCATAGTGACCCTATTTAAAGTATCTAAGAACACACCAAACCAAGGTTCTGCATCCTTCTAGTGTGAAAACAGCTGGTTGCTGTGTTCATGCTTAGTAAAGCTATGGCATGTAAGACAAATTAGTAACTGTATGGTGACCACTACACTAAAAATCTAGAGCAATTGATGATTACCCTCTGTACCCTGTAGGTCCTGCAGAAGTAGTGATGATATTCAGATTACCCTTACAATTAGGATCAGCTGTGCATCCATCAAACTAACTAGCTCATTTTATTACATTTATGCTACTTGGAAACAATGATTAATTTTTGCTACACAAGTGCACCCAATAACTTTTTTTCTTAAAATCTCTATCACTAGAGAAGTTAGCTATATTTTGCCACAAAAGAATCTAATTATATTTAAGTACACAATTCTAGCCCATTTGACTGCTGAAACTGTATATGTGAAAGTCTGCAGCATTTTGCAGGCTGCAGTAAATTACTCCTTCCCACCCCCAAACTAAAAAATGCTAAAAATCCAGTTCTTCATTCTAGGTCTCTAGTAAGTGAACAGAATTTTTTTCTGGTCCTTTCTGCATCTGCAGAGACTCTGTAAACACCTAACTTTGCCCTCTGAGAATGAAGGTTCTGCTTCAAATAATAGAAGGAGATCATATATAACTCTCTGTTTCCACCAGAACCTGGTGTGGAATTCTGTCCTTTTCCACTCGGAAATGGTTGCATCTCCTGCGCTGCTGAATGAAAAACACAATGGTTAAGAATGTTAAATAGTACTTTTTGACTTTTTTTAATGAGCATAATCTGGTCCAGCAGGCCTCCCCCACAATTCCCACCCTTCAGATATTTTTATGAGAAGATAATGCCAGCACATCTCATGCCTCAACAAGTTGTCTTGGAAAGCTGCAGATCTGTAATTTCTGCAATGCTGAAGCTGAGGCTATGAAGCCTCAACTTTTAGGGCCTTGTAGTACTTTTATGATATTGTATGGTACATAACTCCATTAATTCTTATAGAACAACATGTGTTCATAGCATTGTGGATATGATAGCTTATTTATGTAGCCGAAATTGTGTTTTAAAATGGACAATCTGCTCCTAATAGGTGCCTGGTCTTTGTTATATCTCATAAGGAATGCAGGGCATTGTTTATAGGTGATTGTAATGAGGATCCTGAAGAGATGTGCTTATATGTTCTGCTATAGAAATCTCACAAGCAGACTTTGTGTATTTTATAAGCACCATGGGCACAATTCATAGAAAGATGAGATATAACTATTTAAAACAAGTAACCCCCCGCCCCGCCCCCAAAAAAAGCTGTTCACAATACAAAATCCATATTATGGCACTTTATGTAATTTTGACATTAATCTAGCCTAAACTGAACTAGAAGCGGTTTTCACTCTCGAAATCATCAAGATGATAAAGAAAACACTGCAAAATAAGAAGCTTCAACCATAACCTTTTTGTTTTTGCAGTCTTTTGTTTCCGTTGCTCTGTAGATATATTTATCTAATAATTCCTCAGATGTGCTGCAAGAAAGCTATTAGCAATCCACTGAATGTCTGCTTTTATTTAAGAAGAAATATGAAAGTGTGCCCAGTTATTGTGACTGCAAACATCCATCAGTTTGTTATAAAGTCAGGTTAGATACGGCATACAGTAGCCAGCAGTATTTTTGGAAATCTGTCCTATGCCTTTAGAAAACTCAATCTTGTTGCACCACAAGTATAGTAAGGAAATGGTGGATGTTTTGCTCTTAAACAGCATCCATCATTGGGAACAACACAGCATGACATTTTACCTCCAATGATAGTAACTGGTAGGGATGAAATCAGTTGCTTGAGTGACTTTGCTCATGCTGCCTTGTGGGAAACCTCTTTCTTGCCAATTGTTGTTGTGTTCCGGAGCTCCCTGCTTTCTTCTCACTACAGGGACAACGTTGAAGCAGATCATTTTCCAACCACTAGACACCATCAATGGCAGCTGCATGTTATCCTCCTTTAGCCTCTCAGCACTGATTTCACCTGGAGAGGGTCAAGAGAACAATTACAATGAGAATAAGAAGGCTGTGCCATCTTTGCATACCATCTTTCTTCTTTCCATACTATCCTCCTTCTCCAGTCTTTGGCTGCAGTTGCTGCTCTTTGGATTTCTCTGTCTTGGAAATAACTCTCCTGGCAGACATCTCCAGTAGGAGTCAATGCAAAAACCACATAGAAAATTACAGGACTTGCAACATGCATCTGAAATGTTATGCATGACTTCTTGGATCCACAGATAAAAGCACAATATGCCTTGCATGCAGTCCAGCAAAAGGAAGTTTCATTTGGATCCCATTGAAATCAACACTATTAGCTATCAATGAGGTTCAACCATTTTTACTAATACCAAATTATCCCTTATAGAACTTAAGTAATCAAACAGGGACTCATCTATACAACTTCTGGATTGCTGGTCACAAACCAATGGCAGCATTCCCACTGATTAGTATGAGTCAGGTCCAAGCCCCATTCTGGAAATATAGAATGCTATGCCGTGAGCTTGGTGCAAAGTCACCAAATACTTCCCCCTACAAATACTGATGGCCCAAGTTCTCTTCGTATGCTCTTTATCTTGCCAGCTATTTGCTACTCGAAGTGCAACTTGCCTCTCGGTAGTCTTTTGAAGAAGCCACTTATATTCTACCCCTATGTTTCAGCCACTCTGCCATCTCCAATAGAGTCATCCTCTCTGTTTTTATGTATGCAGTATTCCTTTGTGTTGCATATGTTTTGAAACCTGTAGGCCAGTCTTTGTGAACAAAGAGAATAGAAATAATAGAAATATATTGTAATGGTGTATGATAAAAGTTCAGCATGGGATTTTTTTTCTTTTTTGGGTCACTTGAATCTCAGTGGTGCTCAACGTTACTTGCTCTTCCTACAAAACTTTATTGACCTCACTGAACTGAATTTTACTGCCAGAGATCAGAAGAGGTACTTAGATTTTCTGCCTCATATGCCAGGATAACTTGATTAGATTGGGTACTGTGCATATTGGCTTGAGTGGACAAGAGGTGCCATTTACTGCCTGACTCTGACAGGAAAATGTCTTGTACTGGATCTGATCATACCCCTAAGTTTCCTTTGCATATAGAGAAGGCTTATGCTATAGTGATGAGAAGAATGAACAAAATAGCCTTAGAGTGTACACATTTATATATACAAAGGTAAGAGGGAAATGCACCTTTAAAAAAATCTGATCAAAAGAATAAAACAGTCCATGAAAACACTTTGAGCTTGATCTGTAACAAGTAATACAAGATGTTCTATATTTTGAACAAAACAAGATTTCCTAGGAATTCCTCCAGCCAAAAGGCTGATTGCTATAGTATAAGGAGAAGGAAATGGGTAGCCAGTGAAATATGCCTTTATCAAATTAAATAATTAATTTATATTTTATATAGGGGAAATGATACCCCAAAAGAAACTGTGTATTGGTTTGAACCATGTTATCAAATTGCATTAGGAAAAGTCAAAGAGTTTGATTAAAGTTAAAGTATCAGATGTGCTTTGAAATTTAGCTGGTAGTGGAGGTTGTTGCAGAATGCACAGGAAACCCAGTGTTGGTCCAGTGGCTGTCTGGCAACCCTCATGTGAGTGTAGAAGTGTCTTTTTCAAAAGACAGCTCTGCTAGTGGTAGCAGCAACAAGCAAGTGTGGCTTCGAACTCATTCAGAATCTGATCTGGTTTGTGCATATTCACATCAGCTTGCTTGCTTGCTAGTTACTCTCCTGCATCAACCATTTCTTAGTGTTTTTAAAATTTCCATTCTTCTTCCATGAGCACCATACCATGAAGAAGGCAAGGCTGAGAATAAATTGTATACAGTTCTAGAATATCCTTTCATCAATCTCTTTAATCTTTTAGCCCACAGATATATCTCACCTTTCCTGCAAAACCATCAGAAGCATTAAGTGCTGAGACATTTTCTCCCCTCCTTCCACACATCATCAAAGGGAAGGGATTATGAAACCAGAGGTGGGACATAAAACCTTGAGAACTGGAGCCAGGCCCTGAAACCTGTCAGCCTTATAAAACCTGGCTCATATTTTGGAATGACTTCCGAGTTTGAAATAGACACCTGGATTTATGCAATGAGATAATATGGCCATAGGGTGTAATAGCAACATAGAACAGGTTGAGAAAGAAAGAAAGAAAGATACAGACTAGGACTAAAATGAGCCGAGCTACAAACAAGGAGAAACCAACTGCAGTCCTTCCTTCAGCACAAAAAGACCAAGGTGAACATAATAATAAGAGTCCACTATGTGTTTCCAAACAGAAAAGATAGAGTGAACACCACTGACTAGAGGATTAACCCTAATGATCCTCTTTATAATGTGTGGCATTTTTACCTAATGACCTGAAAACCACCCTTTGGAGATAAAGAAAACCTGTTGGGATCCATTTTGTAATTTGATTTTGGGGAAAGACAAAGATACGGTATGTCCTCCCCATCAGGATGACCACATCAGACAGTTTTGTTTGCATTGCTTTTTCTCAAAGAAACATAACTCTTGCCCACAGTAACTGAAAGCCTACTGCACAGTCCCTAGATGTCAGACTACTCATAAAAGTGAGAAATGCATACCCATTTTGTCAGCTTTATTTGGGCTGATTGTGGGTCTGCTTTACAGAGGACAAGCTATAAGGTCTGCCCACTCCAAGACCAGCTGAAAGGTAAAGAACACTGAGAAGGCAGACCAGAGGCCTTCAGGTTGCCCATCAACTGTCAGTACCTGTATGGCCAACGGAGCAGAAACACAAGACAATGGCCTGCAGTCTCCTCCACTGTGGTGAACTGTATTCCTGTGTTACCTATACTAATTCTATTAAACGTTCATCAGTTGGCACATGCAAATTTCATGCAAACCATTTCTTCTCCTTTTATTGCTGACAAATTTCCTACATTTTAGTGATGTCTGGCTAGTCAACCTACTTTCAACTATCATCAGGGCTAGGTGTTTAAACTGAGAAGAGTTTGAAATTTAGTTTTTAAAAATAACTCATTACCTTGCCAACCACAAAGTCACTAGGGTTGTTAAACAAATGGCAACCATTTGATAGGTTAGTACTAGGGTGATGCCCTTAAGTTAATTATTATTTTCTAAAACTACGTATACTTAAACATTCAAAAATGACTCATAGTAACTCCCCCCAAATCAACATTTATGATGAAGCAAGTACATATTTCTTGTTGCAATAAAATGAAACAATGTTGATAGTTGCTAATGTTGCTTTTAAAAATGAACTATCTTGGTAACATTACCCAAATAGTAATGTGTTATAGGTAATGTAGTTCCTTGTAACATATTACACTTGTACTTTGGAAAACAGCTGATTGGCTGTGCTAGAAACAGACCTTTCAACATTTTGGGAGATGGGGTAGGATCTTGTCACAAGCATAACTCCCTCTTTATTTTTAAAAAAGGGATTGCCTCCTCCCTCAATTTTTGTACCATGTTTACATTTTTTAAAGAACACCATTTGTTGATGTGCTGCCAAGACTAACTAGTGCCTCTTCAGGCCTCCACTCCTACTAGGTTCAGCACGTATCACACACTTTGAGATAAACCTGTTGCACGAGTTCCAGATATTCCCTTTATGATGATGTATTAAGAGAAGTTGTTACATCTTCATTTTGTATGACAACTAAGTCAACAAAGAATCACATCAAAGGAAGATGGCTTACATGTAATCTAAACTAGTGGTTCTTAACCTTTGTTACTTGGATGTTTTTGAACTGCAACTCCCAGAAACCCCAGCCAGCACAGTTGGTGGTGAAGGTTTCTGGAAGTTGCAGTCCAAAACTCCTGAGTAACCCAAGGTTAAGAACCAGTGATCTAAACTACTCAGTGCATCATAGCCATGATGTCTGCAACTAAAGAGAGGCCTCAGGTATGGAGAATCCACACCTTTCCTTGGAGTAGGAAGAAAGAAGAATCCCCAAAGGTAACATTAAAGGAATAGCAGAAAACTGTAAGAGCTATAACAGAAAAGTAATTGTATCTCCAACAAGAGTTTTAACTTCCAAACTCAAAATGCCATGGTTTATGGAAAATAGAGAAATTAGAGGTTCTGCTCTTTTCGGCTTAATTATGATGTGGGTAGTGAACACTCTCCCTTTATTGATATAATCTGCCACAACAATTTGGCATTGGCACAGTCAATAGCCTTTGATTTCTCAAACTCAGTGGAACACCTAATCATTTACATGTGCATTGACTGAAGCCAAGCAGAGAGAGATCTTAGGTTCAAAACTGCATTGATTGAGGATACAGTTCATCAGTCCCTTTGCTGGTTAACTTCCCTCTGATTGGATGGCTAGCACACATCTTTCACGTTGTTCCCAGCATTAGATGAGCCTACTTACTTATCTGGCAACCTGTCTAGGATGAGTCTTTGCATGCAGTCAGCTTATTATGAAAAAAAAATCAGAATGTGTTCTTCATTAGTGGCTCATAATTCTGTTTTCCCTGCAAAGTTATATTTCTTTTATTGCCAAGCACTTGAACTACAGTAATTAGCAAATACAATACTCCATCTTGAATTGATTAACTTGCTGATAGTATATCATGGGCAATAAATGACAACAGACACAGCTCTTTCAGCTGATGCTAGCACCACTTGGTGGACTTAAAAAACCAACAACACAGGACTTTGAGCTTTCCAGTATGCACTGGGAGCACTTCCCATTTTCAAAAAAACATTCAGTGCCAGCCAGTCTACTTGCTTCCATCATTTTCTCACAAAAAAATTAAAAGATCCAACATGTTTCTTGAAGTTTCCATTTAATACTACAATGCTATCTGGACATTGTGTTCGTATTCGCTGCAATGCTGAAGTTACATATCTAGACTAAGTTTTAACATTATGTTATTATTAGCATTTAGTATTTTAGCAGCAGGAATAGCATAGCTCTTCCTCTCACTTCACTGTTGTGGTAGTATTGAACAAATGCTAAAATATCATTAAGGGATCTTTTTTTACAGAAAGGTTTCCTCACCTTGACTTAAAACTTTCTTCCCTTTCCAGTACCACCTCTGTGTATGTATGAGAGAATGAGATTGTGTTTATCTGTGTGAGGCATGGCTGACATTTAAAATTGTGTTCACCCCTTTGACATACACAAAATTATTCAAGAAAGTACTGTATGTGAAAACACAGAAACACAAACTGGAACCAAAACACATTAGAGACACATACCCAGCTCCATAACACAATCGTCTCATTGACCACTTGTATACAGCTCTGTTCTGTGTTTCTCTGTTCTTCCCTCCCACTCACTTTCCTCAAATCAAGTCCCATACACATTTGCTCACAAACTCCACTAAGTGCAGTGGCTTAGGATGGGATCACATGGGCACTTAGCTTGTATTTCGGACCACTTATGGCATGCTCCAGTGCAAGTTATTTCCCAGCAATCACATGGCATATTGCAAATAGCACTCCACCCCAACACCAATCTGTGCCCAAGCTGGACCTTTTTGGTGCAGCAGTAGGGTTCCTTCTTTTTAGGGCCAGGCTGGAGTGGTTCCCTGATGGATGGATGGATCACTTTCAAAGGAATTCTTTCTTTCAAGAAAGGTGCAATCAGATATGCACCTTTATTGAAGTCTGATTGCACCCCTAGTCTTAGTTAGATCTACCTAAAATTGCAGCTCCTTTTTCTCTTTCTTATACACACATACATATATACACTTCCTCTATTCTTTTCCCAGACAGTACCTGGCCTGATGAGGGACTGGCACTTGCAGTGAACAATGGCTGCAACAATCAGTTCTTTCAGAAGACAAAGGACCTTCCCAGGCACAATTTGACCACTTGATTGGGTATTGTCCATCACACAGAATACATCTTCTTTGGTCCAGTTTTCAAGATGAGTTGCTTCCTTAGGTACACCTAAATAGCAAGAGCCTGGCATCTGGTAGTTCACATGAGTAACCTTCTCAGAGTCACTCTGTTCACCTGAACATTTTTGAATCAGGAGAGCATCAGCATCAATACACAAGGGAACATGCATATCTACTTCATCCTCTGCAGCAGAAAGGGCAAATTCCAAAGCTTCCAGATTTCTTGAATAATCCACTGTAAACCTAGGGTCCATTTCATGGACTTTCTCCAGGACAATCAGCAAAATGTTTTCTGCCTTCTGAAAATGTGCCACTCTCTGACTTTCACGGGACTGAATCACCTGAAGGTAGCTATGCCAATGAGGGACCTTTGCTGCCATGGCTGATGGGCATCAAAGAAGAAACCCCTCTTGATCGTTCCCTCGCTATGCTCCTGTAGGCTATTGCTGAAAAGCAAAGCAATGCTGCAGCTGTGTATAGACAGAAATATGCATGCAGATGGGAGGGGCACGGCACCTAGGGTTGGAGTAGGGAGGAGCAGCATGTAGAGTGAAATTCCATTGAAGCATGAATAAACTTCGTGTTTTCCTGTTACATAGTTGATAGACTGCCAAGCTATTTTAAAACAGTCATTGTTAAACTGGTAAGTTCAGGTGAAACAACTGAGACATTACCTGGCTATGTATAGTAGCCCAGCAGATCCATTGTACCTGGCAAACCTGAAAAACTGGGGAAACTGGGGATTTTCATTATTAAAATGGGTCTAACCAACTCTAACTAGGAAGACTGCTGTGTAGGCTCATGTGATTTAAGAGGCTTTATGCTAAAATTTGTGGCTTGCCACTTCGATGAAAGCTTAGTCTACATTTCAAAAAAGAATGCAATGCAATGCAATGAAATATCACTACTGCTACTGGGCTCTTAGGAGGAACTGTGACTTATAATCAAATTACTGCTCTTATTACTGTGTGAAAGCCAGAGGAGTGCACTGGAGAGAGTGTCAGGCTAGGATGCAGGAGACCTGCTTTCAAATACCTCTTGGCTAAGGAAACTTAAGGGTGGGATGAACATCTCATTGAACATCTCCCAAATCTTGAAAGTTAGAGTTGACATAAGTTGGAAATAAATTGACAGCAGAGAAAATACATAGAGTATTATCAACCAATGGGTTTAATGGGAAGAGAGGGAATTCAGGTTTCTAATAATTATTTGAATACCAGGGATCTAATAATTAATGACACTGGTAATGTATAGACATACATTTCCAGAATTTCCTGGAATGAAAGCTGGAAGTTCAACTTATCAGTATTTTTATGCACCTATTTAGAAATTCATGCTCTGCTTTTCTTTAGTAAATAATGCCAAAGCTGCTTATAAATTCATGTAAATGTACAAGATGCCCTCCCCTCAAGAAATCAAAACTCACAGGGAGTATCAGAATGGTTGGGTAGCTCTGCATGATTCAGTCACCTCAGATTTGGAATGTGGCTATTCAGACTCTCTTAACAATAGGGAAATCCACAAAACCAGGAAACATCTGAAGTCAAAAGCTTAAAATGGAAAACAGAAAAGTGACGTATTAGCTAATATGGTTTGGAGGTATTTTCATACTTAAACTGTATCACACTGGTTCAAGGCCTCAGCTCAGGTTATTTGTTCAAGTAGTTTTTAAAATAAAGATAAGTGACTTTTGCTCCTCCATATGTTTTTGAACTACAATTTCCATTATTCCTTACTGTTGGCCATACTGGCTAAAACTTTGAAAAGCTGAAGTCTAAAACATCTATAACATAAAACATCCCCATCCCTTCTTTAGAAGAAAGGAAAGATTAAGAGAGGTAAAGGTTCCCCTTGACAATTTTTGTCCAGTCGTGTCCGACTCTAGGGGGCGGCGCTCATCCCGCTCTTCAAGCCATAGAGCCAGCATTTGTCCGAAGACAATCTTTCCGTGGTCACATGGCCAGTGTGATTTAGACACGGAACACTGTTTACCTTCCCACTGAGGTGGTCCCTATTTATCTACTCGCATTTGCATGCTTTCGAACCGCTAGGTTGGCGGGAGCTGGGACAAGCGACGGGTGCTCATTCCATTGCGTGGATTCGATCTTACAACTGCCGGATCTTCTGACCCTGCAGCACAGGCTTCTGCGGTTTAGCCCACAGCGCCACCACATCCCTCATTAAGAGAGGAGGTGAACTAAATTATCCTTTGGGCAACTGACATAAAATAATTTTGAGATTGATGAATGAGGTGACATAAGGTTTCACCTACGCACACTAGTATCGGCTATAAAGGATTTTCGTAGCGGATGCATCTGGGAGCTAATCAATGGATCGGGAACCTCCATATGTTTTTGTATTACAGGTCCTGTCACCAAAGACCATGGACATGCTAACTGGAGCAGACAAGATTTGAAATCCAGCATAATCTAGAGGACCACAAGTTGATCATTTCCAGTACAAACTTGTAAAATGGAAACTGAATTTATTAATATTGCATTTATAATTCATTTGCTGCATTTATGCCTTTTCTTTCCTCTGAAGAACTTGGGTACAGCAGTAATTAAGGTTGTATCCTTATGCCTAATTTTCTGTGAGTAAGACCCTTTAAGTTTAAGAGGACTGACATTTAGGTAGATATATGCAACACACTGTTAACAGATGACAAGCCGGTATCCTCTTAGCTTAGAACAAGTATCAAAGGACTTTGCAGGACTTAGTTCTGAGTAGACCTGCATATCATTGTGCTTGCAAAAACACTGTGAAGTAAATGAGGTTGGGAGTGAGGAATTTGGACATTGCCACTCCAAAAATCATCTGTTAAACAGGACCAACGTTCATATTTTAACCAATGCCTCTGAACAGTTACATATTTGTTACCTTTAATCTCAACATTCTTTCCGCCAACTCTAGGAAGGAAATTCATTATGAGGAATTATGGATCTTACAGTCAAACATCTGGAGGGCCACACATCCCAATCCTTTATGCATCCGGTGACAGTTACTCTGTAGATGTATAAGTTTAGTATTGCAGCATTAATTGTGAAGACTTATGACCATCCTGACTATTAGGTAGAGTGAAGGCAGCCACAAAAAGCAGCAGATTTGATGCATCACAAAGAGACAGCAAATTTTGTTATTGTCATATTTTATTGCCAAAGATGAAAAGAAAGGGCTGAAGTGCAGGATGTTCTTTCTCATAAGTACCGTGTTTCAGGTTTAGAAATTATTGAGAATCCTAAGCAATTCAGGGATATTTGTCAGTTTTCAAGTCAATCCAAGTGGCATTGAAATTGAAACAGGGGCTCTCAGAAACAGTTCTGTTTAAAAAGCTGAATGATTTTTAAAAAACACTTTGGATCAGGACCATGGCCAGTGATCTGTCAGCAATTTTTAAACTTTCGTTTTTACTGTTAAAGGCTCCTTTTCCCACCTCTTTGTCCTGAGGCAAAGGACAATCCACAGGTCAAAAGGTAGCCTCAGAACCTGAAAAGGCTGGGAGGATAGGGAACTTTCCATGAGTTTAAATTAAATGTTGCTGACACTCAATCTAAATTATGCCATCATAAAGTTATGCCAATAGGATTTTGCCCATTGTGTTTTTAGTTTGACTTTGTTTAGGGTGGAAAGAAACAGTAACAGACTGTTTGTTATTAGTGATTGCATAAGCATTTCTTTCATAGCATTCAAATATTTTTCATAATGATGAATTCCCAGCATTCAAGAAAGCCTTTCCTGCTTGCTCTGTGTTGTGCAGAATCAAATATAGCCCAGAACGGAATTTTGCAAAACAAGTGGAACAGGTTCACAACTCCATAACAATGTGAGATGCTTCTCATAATAAATAATATTTTAAAAGCCTGCCTCATGCTGTGTGACCAAGAAGCAATGCAGTATTTTTTTTCCTGTGCCCATTTATTACAGTTCAAGATGGCTGAGTTTGAAATGTAAATATTATCTTTAATAATAAAAAGGGTGGGGAGGTGGGTGGGGATATCTGTCTGTCTGTCTGTCTGTCTTTCACCTAGTTCCAAGACCATGAGTAGTTTGTTAAGAGCTTCTAAGCCACCAAAAGCTGTTGAACGCTGAAGAAGCACCACCACTGGAATGCCAGTGAGAAAGAAAAGGAGCAGAGGAGACAGAAAAGAAAGAGGGTATCAATATCCCAATTTTTTAAACAAAGAAAGTAACTTCCCAGGCTGTTTGCCTAGTTAGCTGTGGCTGAGAACCAGTGACTGAAATAAATTCCAGTATGTTCGATCGAATTTACGATTGTAGTCTGACAAATCGTATTGCATGAATAGGGAGAAGACGACAATTAATAAAGTCACACAAAGTGGGATATGATGCTTCTCTTTTTTTTGTAGTAGGTTGGTAGTTAGGACGACTCGATCTATCATGTCATATGTTAAGACTGAAGTGGATGGCGGCTAAAGAACAGGTACGGGGACAGAGTTCCCAAGTCGCCTTGCCTCACGACTAGTCTCTTGCCTCCTTCGCCCCAAGACGCGGACTTCTCCCGCTTTCTCCTCCTCAGTTTGGCCGGTTTCAGTTTGCCGCATCCCCTGGTCGCCGCGGCAACCCCGGGCCGCGTTCTGTTTCTATGGCGACAGTGGGCACTCGGCGTCCCCGTTGCCCCAGCAACCGCGCCCGGGCCGCACTGCATGCCTCTTCCACTCTGAACAGCAGAGGAGGAGACGCGACAGAGAGTAACTGTCTCTCCAAGAATGCCATCTTTCTGTCGAGCCTGTTGGAGCGCGAACAGGTACCTTTTCCTCTGCTTTTGAATATAGTTGGTCGGCCAGCGCCGGGTCTTCCTTTCAAGTCCTTGTCCAGGCCTTGAACGATGAGCGAGGAGAAGCCGAGTTTGCAGCTGGAGGCTGCAATCCAGGTCAGTGAAGGAGTGGCTTTGTCATGCTTTGCAGCAGCTCATTTCCGAGGAAAGTGAGCAGAGCGCCTCTCCGCAAACTGTATATTCCCCTTTCAGTGCAAAGCACCCAGCCAGCAAAGGAAAGGATTCTCTTTCCTTTTGACGGACAAAAGTACAACCTTCTAACCAAAGAAAAAATGTAATGATGGTAATTTGTGTCTTCCTCCCTTTCACACCACTAGTTTGGACAGGCTAATGATTTCTGGTCCCTCAAAGAAAACAGAGGAAGATTAAAATTTGCATCTGTTTTAATTCTATGGGTTACAATTACCCTTGGTGATCTTTTGGTATTAATTAA